AAAAACACACTGCCTGTCCGTCCACCTAATGTTACTCAGATCTCAATATTCGACTGTCCCCACAGATGATATAAAAGACCCATGATTGGGCCTTCCATAGAAACAAAGACGGGGGGAATGTGGAGCTGCTGGGGCTGGCAGCCCTGGGTTTCAGTTTCCCCTGAAATGGTGGGATTCCCCGCCCCCATCAGGTAACCTGGAGCCAGCCAATCAACATGTGCCTAGCAAGAAAAAGGGAACCTATCAGGGGAAAGCTAAAAAGCCCGAGAACGCCCAAGTTTGAAAAAAGCCCACGAAGGTTTGGGTCAATAAGATTACTTTGCAAACATGTAACCAATCCGCTTAAGCCAGCTACCAACTGCTTATGCACACCTTGTAAATTGGGTAACAGCTTGGGCTCAGCGCTCTCTGACCCTGTACCACTGCGCTGGACGCGCGGCGGGAGCCCTGACTCGAGTCAGCAATAAACTTCCCTTTTTTTGCAAATTGCATTGTCTTAAAAGCCTTCTCTCTTCCCGCTCGGGGATTCGGACATCAGGCATAACAAATGGCAATTCTAGTTTTAAAAAGGAGTCAGTAACACAGTTCCAACCCCTCTAAGTGAATTTGGGGCTGGAATTTTGCTATCTGGTGAAGGGGTGTTAGCATATGACTTCCTGGTGGCAATAATATTACAAAGGATTATTTTTAATAATAAGGGAATGGTTTGGAAACAAAATGGGAATTTTTTAGTTCACTGAGAGGGCTCTGACAATGTACCCAAGCAGGTGGATGGTATAGCACTCTTCCTAGTCATTATTTGGACTATTTTTTTTTGAGAACAAATGACCCTTAGGAAGAATGTTCTTTTTTATGCAAAGTTTCCTATTTTTCATTAGTAAGACTAACATGGAATATAGAAAATTAAGTTCTATACATGGGGAAAAAATACAAACTAGGCTTAAGCACTGTAAAAGTTAAAAGCTAAGCCAAAAATAAAGTCCCAAAGGTGAAAAGACCAAGTAAAGTCCTTGTCTAAAAATATTAAAGGCAGACATGCAGGCTTCCTCTGAGGAGTCTAGTGGAAATGAGCTCTAAGCACACTTCTCAGTCCAAAGCCTGCATTACATCCTTTCTGGTGAAGGAGGAGTTCTGGGCACGCAACCACCACATGATGCTGAGCAGGGTGGGTGTGCACCTTGCAAGGTGCTGAGTTTATTTCACATCCCAGTGCCTTGTCTAGGCTTCTTTCCCCACTTGGAGATGTTTCCACTCTAGGACATATTCCTAGTCAGGCACTGACAGCGACTAATATCTGTGCAGTATGTCCTCTCTCTCCAATGGCTTAGATTTCCAAAATAAAATCTAGAGAACCTAAAAAGCATTGTAAATTATTCTGAATTAATTTGGGGAATGTAAGTCCAAGTGACATCATGTCTATCTGTAACTTTGAGTAATTTTCTGGATTCTTTAAGCTCCATTAATAGTGCCTACCACCCACAGTTTGTGTGGTGATTGCCCAAGCTGAAATGAGGGCAAAGCTCTCAGGAGAGTGGCTAGTGCACACGACTCTCACTTTCCGTGGTGACTGCTGTTGGACGGCCCCTCTCCCTCCTGGTGTCTGGTTCCAGATCAAGGGCTTCACTCTCTGTTGCCTTAACATTCCGGGCCTGTCACCACCTCCTCATTCATTCTGCTGACGTGGAGTGGCTTATCAGGTTGAATTTGGAACCAGCATCTGGATGTTCTTGTTTGGCCCCTTCTTTCTGATTTCTTTTGGGAGTGATCTCACCCTTAGAAACCTTAGTTTTTGCTGTTCTTAGCTATGTAGTAAGCTGAATGACAAACGCTCACAGTAGTAAAACTGTCCAAATCTGGGGGTCGAAAGGCAACCATGTCTTGTAAGTCAATTCAGTCACTAATAAAGAGGTGTGTGTGGGGGGAGGGCAGGGTGGGATATGTGTGTTTTAGGTTCTAATTGCCTCAATCCTTTGTCTTAATTTTCTTGGTTCAAAACTCAGGAAAGGGTACTCATTAATAAGATCCTTATGGTATTATGCTAAGTGAAATAAGTCAGACAGAGAAAGGCAAATACATATAACTTATATGTGGAATCTAAAAATAAAATGAGCTAGTGGCTATAAAAAAAAAGGAAACAGACTCTTAGATATAGAAAACAAAGCAGTGGTTACCAGTGAGGCAGGGGAGATGAGAGGGACAATATCGGGGTAGGGGCCTAAGAGATACAAACTGTTATGTTTAAAAATAAGTAAGCTACAATACAGAAAGTGCATCCAACATTTAACTAAAGATGAAATATAACCTTAAAACTTGTGAGTTACTACGATGTTCACCTGCAACATGTAACATCGCACGTACGTCAACTGCGTCTCAATAATAAAAAGTCCTTCAGACATTAAAACAGCTGTCATGTAACTATCACTGGGACAAACCTGTTGGGGTTAGTTTGGGAGAGAAGTGACGCAGTTTTCCTTTTCCTTTCTGTAATTCTCGGTTGTGCTAGGTCTTCGTTGCTGCTCGCGGGCGCCCCCTAGGTGCGGTGCGCAGGCTTTTCCTGTGGCGGCCTCTCTCGCTGTGGAACACAGGCTCGGGGCTTCCGGGTTTCAGCAGTTGGGGTGCATGGGCCTAACTGCCCTGTGTGGCATGAGGAATCTTCCCAGACCAGGAACTGAACCCGCGTCCTCTGCACTGGCAGGTAGATTCTTAATCACTGGACCACCTGAGAAGTCTAGTAGCAGTTTGATTTGACTTTCCCAACAGCAACAAACCAAACTATCTCCTCCACAAACACATTTTATGAATGGAATCTCTACACTTGGCTTCTTTGAAAAATGTGCCTACCACCAGTTGTAGCAAGAACTAAGTTTGGAATAACATTTCCCAGCCCCTAGGTGGAGGCATGATCCTGAAGATATATATTTAAATTTTTATTAATTCTTCAGGTACTTATTTAGGACCTACCATACTGGACTGGAGGTACAATCACTAATCACAGACCTGTTTTCAAATTTCTGCTCTGCCTCTTACCAGCTAAGAGGTTTTCCACAAAGTACTCAATTCACTCTTTACTTATTTGTAAATTGGAAATAACAGTACCTACCTTATATGATTACTGTGAAGATTACATAAGTTTATAACTGTACAGCATTTGTTATTTAACAGCATACAGAAGCAATGCAATATCTCTTCACTGTTAAGATTATTTTAAAAAATCATGTGCTGCCTATTGTAAATATAATCATGAACAAAATGGACACCAAAAGTTTTATTTAAGGCTGAGTTACATGGTTAGGTCTTTCTATGGTTAAATCCTTTAGAAAGGATTAAATCTTTTCTATTAGCTATTTTACATTGAGGGCTTCCAGGATGAGTGAAATGCAATGACACTTCACTGAGTGAATGACAAAAATCAACACTGGGTTCAAGAGCAACATTTAAAATACTTTTTATTAGCATTTAATTTTCATCAAGTGAATCCAACCATTTTTTTCTAAGAGTAATATACAAACTATCCAGGTAGCATAAGCTTATTTTTTGGTTCTAAACCTAAAGCTTACTCTAAGATATTCTGGGGTGTTTTAGATATTTTAAATCCAGGAAATTTTGCAAAATATATATATTTTTTGAATGAAACAGTTGCAAAGTCCAAACTTCTTTCAGTGTGGCACCAAGAATATCCACATAGGATGCAACTCAAACTCGCTCCCTCTTGAGGGAGGGAAGCGTGCTTCAGAAACAGGAGGCATCTCATGGCAGCGGGGCCAGGACATGTGACGGCCTTCTAAACAGCCTTGTCAATCATTTCTAAAAGAATGAAAATGAAAGAAAACAAACAAAGGCAAAAGAACTCTGGAATCTTTCAACATTGACCCACAACCCACAATAGGATGTCCTGGAGGGTCAGCTTTATTCCCACCAGGAATATCAGGTCATTGTTAATGATACCAAGGAAGGAAGCTGAGCGAGAGACTGTGAATCACTTGTCATCATAAGGGGTGGTAGCACGATCTGAACTGGGAGTATGAATCCAAGAAAGCCCTGGAGTCTGTCGAACCGGGTGCGGTCGTTTACGGACTGTTAGGAGGAGGGCTTACCGCTGTGGGAATAACTGACTGGAGTCGTTATCACGCGCTGAGTTTTGGCTCTGGCTATTACCGTCTGGTGGCTCAGACGGTTAAGGATCTGCCTGCAGTGCAGGAGACCCGGCTTCGATCCTTGACTTGGGAAGATCCCCCAGCTGAAGGGAACGGCAACCTACTCCAGTATTCCTGCCTGGAGGATCCCGTGGACAGAGGGGCCTGGCGGGCTGCAGCTGCAAAGGGCGTGACACATTAAGCACTAACACGTTCACATTCCCTAACACTGTGGGCTTCTGCGTGTGACGTGCCGTGCAAACGACAGCAGACAGCTTTCAAGTAATTTGGATTTGAATAATTCTTAATAATTCTGCAATCATATGAGTAATCAGTTCAGTTCAGTTCATGAGCCTATGAACCGCAGCACACCAGGCCTCCCTGTCCATCACCAACTCCCGGAGTCCACCCAAACCCATGTCCATCAAGTCGGTGATGTCATCCAGTGCATCTGACATGCTTTTAAGATTTATTAATATATATTTATAGCTATAGTTTACTCATTCTCACTGCGCCATGATATTCTACTGTATGATTATATTCTGAGTCCTTGAATCATCCAGGCAGAGGACATTTTTTCCTAGATTTTCACAATTGAAAATATTGCTTTGCATACTTTTGTGTGTGCCACACACTCAAAAGCTTTACTAGAAATACAAGTGTTTGATCAAAAGATACTACCTGCAAATTATTTTACCAAGAAATTGCAGTAATTTACATCCCCAGCAGCAGTATAAGGGATTTCTCTTGTCATTTTTTCATTGGTCTCTTATTCTTTACTCATTTTATAAATATTAGTTTTTTTTAATTCACTTCAAAAAGGTATTTTATTTTCTCTGTGTGATAACTGGTAAACATGAAGTCCTTGACTATCTAACCAGGGGTAGGTTGATTTTCTGTTAAGGGATATATGGTAAATACTCTAGGCTGTGGACAATACACTCTTTCTTGCGATTACTCAGCTCTGCTGTTGGCAGAGCACACGGAGCGCCAGACAGCGGATAAGGAGACACGCACAGCCGAGCTCCACTAAGGGCTTCCCAGGCGGTCCCGTGTTGAAGAGCCCACCCGCCAGTGCCGGAGACCTAGGAGACACAGGTCTGATCTCCGGTCTGGAAGATCCTCTGGAGAAGGACACGGCAACCCGCTCCAGCAATCTCGCCTGGGAAATCCCATGCACAGAGGAGCCTGGAGGGCCACAGTCCNAATGTTCCCTTGGTATCTCTAATTTTCTTGAAGAGATCTCTAGTCTTTCCCATTCTATTTTTTTCCTCTATTTCTTTGCATTGATCACTGAGGAAAGCTTTCTTCTCTCCTGGCTATTCTTTAGAACTCTGCATTCAAATGGGAATGTCTTTCCTTTTCTCCTTTGCCTCTAGGTTCTCTTCTATTCACAGGTTATTTGTAAGGCCTCCTCAGACAATCATTTTGCCTTTTTGCATTTCTTTTTCTTGAGGATGGTCTTACTCCCTGTCTCCTGTACAATGTCACGAACCTCTGTCCATAGTTCATCAGGCACTCTCTCTATCAGATCTAGTCCCTTAAATCTATTTTTCACTTCCACTGTATAGTCATAATAAAACCACATAAAATAAGAGAGGTAAATAAGACCATCCCTACTCTCCCTTTTCTTAATTACATCATTTGTATTTATCTTCTCTGGTCTTGTTTACACTAAACATTTTATATGCACAGCTTTGAATTCAGCTTTTACATTTTATGTTGGGACTACTCAACCATAGTAGCATGACACTCCTTGTATTATGGATGTTCTGTAGTGAAATTATACATTTTTTCATTATTGAACACTTTGGCTATTTAAATATTTTTGTCACTAGAAATAGTAGTATATTAGACATTTTAGACATTTGTCTACTTGTATACCTTGTATTACTTTCTTTGGATTGATTTTCAGAAGAGAAATCACTGAGGCAAACTGTGTGAGCATTTTTATGACTTTTGTTGACAAATTGCTTATCTACCAGCTAAATATGAGAAAACAAGTATCATTCTATTTTCATTTATTTCAAAGGAAATAATTCTACCACTGAATAAAAATAGTTCTTTAAAAAATGTTAATACTTTGTTGTTTAGTTTTGCTTTTTTTATTTTCTCCACATTTTGGGTATTGTTTTTTTTCCCTGAATTGGCTGTTCATACGTTTGCCTGTTGGTATCATAGTGTTTTCCTCATCATTTTGTACACATTTTCCCCAGGTAAAGATATTCATTGTGTTGCAAATAATTCTTTCAAACACCTTGTACATGGTGTATTGTTAGCCTTTAAATCTATTTTAAAATATGATCTTTGTAATAGGAAGTGATATTCAACAGTTAATGTTTTTGAAATGGAGATTAAAAATTTATCTGAGGGTCACATAAAGCACTTATAAACACAAATATTTCCCTGGAGATATGACGTTTTGTACTGCCAGCATCTAGGTTGGTCTATTCATTGTTTCCTAAAAGTCCTTGTCTCTTCTGTCTTCTGTTCTAAGCATCAGCTTCTTTTCTCTGCAAAGACTTTGCTCTGCTCAGTAGCTACCTGTTCCTTTTGAATTCATTTAACTGCAGTTGACACTGTCCACCGTGTTTCTTGGATTGTCATTTAATTGCCTTCTGTGTGGTAAGTTCTGTCTCCTTAACTAGAACATAAATTTTTGAACATGAAGTCATAGCTTATTGTCTGCTTATATCTTCCACATTACTTGGCTACTTGTAAGACAACCTATCAAACTGGGAGCAACTAGTGTTGCATGTGACATTAAATGGCAGAATATAGAGAGGGAACCATGAAACTATAGTTTCCAGAAATTCAGATAAAGGAATCTTATTTTAAAATTAATTTTCCAAATTAGAATTTAGAATTAGTGCCAGTAGAAGAATCTTCTGGCTAATAGAAGGTGGTATAAGCGTATTTTCACACAAAGGCAAATAAACTGGCTTCCTTCTACATCTCCAGGAACAAGTATGCTCCCACTGTTGTTGGGGAAACTGAACCAGCTTACCAGACTTCCATTCAGGCTTATTCGAGGCATTCTCATAGATGCTCTTATCCATCCTGATCTTAGCAGTTGATTTTGTAGGCTCTTGATTCTAAAAATGGAGATAGGAGTTAAAGTCTGAGACTGTTAATAAGATTTAAAAAGCAGAATTGGTGTCAAATCTTGTCTGTAGATCAGGGGACTTACAGCTGGGACTCCTGGCGGTGGCAGCACTGTGTGGGGACCAAAATGCTCTGTAAGGAGCCACTTAATGTTGTGACAGGCTTTTTAATGATGTAAACATAAAGCTACAGTTCTGGGCTGGCAGTAATCAGCGAAAGTTTTGAGGGGAGAGGGAAGGGATTTGGCTCAGAAACATAGCCAAGATTTAACATCAGGGAGAACAGCATTTATTAAAATAACAGAATTTGTTGATCTTCTCTGTATATCTAACTAGCTGATGTTTCTACCATTTAATGGACCCTCACTTTCAAACTACTTGCTCTATGTTAACAACTCTCATGCAAATGATTTTCTTTTTAATTAAGTAAAAGCAGCAATTTGGGGCATTATGTACTGGGGGAGTGTTAGCTTTCCTGGCTTCTCCGTTCATTCCCCCAAGTACGCTATTAAGATAAATCCTACAAGCTTGGCAGCCTACCAAGTCTAAGGAGAAAGATGGCTTAATCGGTAAGCTGGAAGGAGCCGTCTCATATTTTATCTTAAGTGTCTTCCTCATCATTTTTTGTTGTTGTTGTTGTTGTTTATTTATTAACTGTAATTTCCCTTTGTTATTTCCTAGTCTTCAGCAGAAACTATGTTTGGGAGAACTACAGGAAGCGACTATATTCATGTTTGTCAAATCTTGTCTGTAGATCAGGGGACTTACAGCTGGGACTCCTGGCGGTGGCAGCACTGTGTGGGGACCAAAATGCTCTGTAAGGAGCCACTTAATGTTGTGACAGGCTTTTTAATGATGTAAACATAAAGCTACAGTTCTGGGCTGGCAGTAATCAGCGAAAGTTTTGAGGGGAGAGGGAAGGGATTTGGCTCAGAAACATAGCCAAGATTTAACATCAGGGAGAACAGCATTTATTAAAATAACAGAATTTGTTGATCTTCTCTGTATATCTAACTAGCTGATGTTTCTACCATTTAATGGACCCTCACTTTCAAACTACTTGCTCTATGTTAACAACTCTCATGCAAATGATTTTCTTTTTAATTAAGTAAAAGCAGCAATTTGGGGCATTATGTACTGGGAGAGTGTTAGCTTTCCTGGCTTCTCCGTTCATTCCCCCAAGTACGCTATTAAGATAAATCCTACAAGCTTGGCAGCCTACCAAGTCTAAGGAGAAAGATGGCTTAATCGGTAAGCTGGAAGGAGCCGTCTCATATTTTATCTTAAGTGTCTTCCTCATCATTTTTTGTTGTTGTTGTTGTTGTTTATTTATTAACTGTAATTTCCCTTTGTTATTTCCTAGTCTTCAGCAGAAACTATGTTTGGGAGAACTACAGGAAGCGACTATATTCATGTTTTTTTTTTTTTTTTAAAGAAAGTTAATATGGAAAGAGCAAAAGACATTTGGAGAAGCAGTTTACAATGTTAAGAAGCGGTGTCAAATACTATGTAGTGTACTTCCTATTTCTTTAATCTCCATAGCAGCACCATAGGTAAGTGACTTATTATTTTATCTGCTTTATAGACAGGGAAAATGATGCTAAGGTGGGTTGAGAAATTTGTTCAAGGTCACATGGCTAATTGTGATGGAATCAGGAAGCAACCCAGAGACTTTCATGCTCCACCCCACGCTCTCAACCCCTATGCTATTGGGTCAGCAGTTTGAGGCAACAAGCAACAACTAGGGAGGGTTTGAGGAAAAGCTCCCGCAGGAAGACTCTGAAACTCAAGGATAAACTGAACTTCCTGCTTTTATGTAGAATGAGAACTTGTGTATTAAAGAAGAGGGTTGGACTCCTCAAGACCTGAGAACTTGGACACATTTGAGTTAAAGACAAACATGAGAAAAACACCTTCAATGTCCCTCATGGAACCTATGATAACCTTTCATTCAACATATACTCATGAGGCAAGTTTCAGGGGAGGAGAATGTGTTTTGAGTTTGATGCCTTATGCTAATAGAGTAAGTGGACTGAATCAATGTAAAACATCTTTGACAATCAAATATACAATTTTCTGATGTATTCATTTGTAGCAGATATTTCTCATATTCTGGGTATTATAATTAGCATCTCCTGGGACAATACTACCAGCTCGGAAAAGACTAGAAATAAAAATAAATTCTCTACCTTGCTTGGAACTCCCTAAAATCCAATCTACAGGTAGGTTGCTGGAGATCTAGTGAGGTCCAGTTGTCTCTAGGTATTTTCAGGGGCCTGGTTCCAGGACAGCACTCCATCTTCCCACAAATACCAAAATCAAGGGAAGCTCAAGTCCCTTATATAGAATGACATAGTATAGTCAGGGCCCAGGAGCCACATGTTCTGTGTTCTAGGACACGGAGAGCTGACTGTATTTTCATTCCATTTCTCAGTTTACCTGAGTGCATGTCTCTTCTTGAGAGAGATTTTCATGTGTTCCACTTTCACCTGCTTCAAATTGAGTATGTGTGTCTTCTGGAAGGGGGTATTCACATGTTCTGGATTCAGCTCCTTCAGAAAAGACTGCATTAATTCAAACACTGAAACAAACAGCCACGTTAACTAGTCCAACTATCTAATTCAACCAAGTTCACGTCACTGTGATCTGAAATTGGTGGCAATTTCAGTTGGTAGGAAATGGGGTCACTTTAAAAAAAGAGATTAAAAGTCTTTTATTATAGAGATTGTGTAACAAATGTGCAGAAAGTTTGGAAAGTACGGAGACAAAATCATTTACTGTCCCACCATCCCCAAAGTACTTTTATATTAATATGTACTGAGCATGCCAGGCCCATTGGTAAGTAATGGGGATACATAAGAAAGCAAATGAGTGGTGATCCGTGCTCTCTTGGAGACGACTGATCAGCAAACATACGAACAAAAAAATACATGATGGGAAAATAGGACTGTGTGCATAATGGGCTATGGGAGCACATGGAAAGTGCAATTCTGTGAGGTTGGGATGTATCAGTGATGCTGAGATTTAAGGAATAAGAAGTTAACTCCACAGAATGGGGAGATGTGGGGACAAGCACTCTTAGAGGGTCCTAGGCAGAAGGAAGAGAAGAAATGTGCAAAAGTTCAGGAATGAGAGACCATGAGGTCTCTCATACTATGTGAACTGTTAGCCGTTTGGTATGGCCATGTTTTAGATTGTGGGGAGGGAAGATGGCTGAAGAATGAGCAGATGGTGAAGTTTCCCGTACTATGTCCTGTTTCTGCTAAATGTGAAGATTAGTGGGGACCCATGGAATGACAGTATTGTGATCATCTGGATTCTAAGATTTATAATTGTAATGTAATAAAGATAAAATTTGTTTAAAATTAGCAAGATAATGCTGTATAAGTGCTACTTTTACTTGATATGTATCATTGGTCTTTTCCAAGGTACTACCTAGGAAATTAATTGTTTAATGCTTATTAAACAATTGTGTTGACTAATGTGTTAATTTAATTAACCATTCATTTATCATTAGACATTTTGATAACTTCTGACTTCTATTCTTATAAATAATGCTTAATTACCTTATTTTTTTCTTTTTAAAATTAATCTATTTTTTATTGAAGGATAATTGTTTTACAGAATTTTGTTGTTTTCTGTCAAACCTCAACATGAATCAGCCACAGGTGTACATATACCCCTCCCTTCTGAAACTCCCTCCCATCTCCCTCCCCATCCCACCCCTCTAGGTTGATTCAGAGCCCCTGTTTGAGTTTCCTTAGCCATACAGCAAATTCCCATTGGCTATCTATTTTACATATGGTAATGTAAGTTTCCATGTTACTCTTTCCATACATCTCACCCTCTCCTCCTCTCTCCCCATATCCATAAATCTATTCTCTATGTCTATTTCTGCATTGCTGCCCTGTAAATAAATTTCTTCAGTACCATTTTTCTAGATTCCATATATATGCGTTAGAATATGATATTTATCTTTCTCTTTCTGACTTACTTCACTCTGTATAATAGGTTCTAGGTTCAACCACCTTATCAGAAGTGACTCAAATGCATTTCTTTTTATGGCTGAGTANAGTCCTAAAGGAGATCAGTCCTAGGTGTTCATTGAAAGGACTGACACTGAAGCTGAAACTCCAATACTTTGGCCACCACATGCGAAGAGTTGACTCATTGGAAAAGACCCTGATGTTGGGAGGGATTGGGGGCAGGAGAAAAAGGGGACAACAGAGGATGAGATGGCTGGATGGCATCACCGACTCAATGGACTTGAGTTTGAGTAAACTCCGGGAGTTGGTGATGGACAGGGAGGCCTGGCGTGCTGCGATTCATGGGGTTGCAAAGAGTAGGACACAACTGAGTGACTGAACTGAACTGAACTGACTGATTCCATAATTCAAATATAACTCAATTTTTAAAACTATCTCAAATTTATTTTCCAAATTTTAATTAATAGCTTATAGCAGTTATTAAATAATCATATATATTATGATTCAGTTTCATTCATGCAAAATTTGTATGGAGAATAGGCTTATAATAAAGTTATTTATTTGCCTGGAGAATCCCAGGGATGGGGTTGCACAGAGTCGGACACGACTGAAGTGACTTAGCAGCAGCAGCAAGGTTATTTACTCAGTTCTATGATTTATATCTCTGTTATTCAGACAACACAACAACATTTTCATTATTACTGCTATATAAAATATTTTAACTTCTGGAAAGAACTAGAAGTTTCCTCATCAATCTTTTCTTCATATTATTTTTATATACTTATAATGTTTATAATATATGATACCTATTATAATTATGTATTTATTTTATAGAGTAAATATAGAATAATTTATAACTATAAGTTAGATATTCTGTCATAATTCACATATTGGATATCAAATATGGCAGTTAAAAGGATTCCTCAATACTTTAGGCAGAGTGCATGCAAGTTTCCAAATACTATAGGACTATTTCATAAAAGAAAAATAAGTTCCCAATTATTCAAAGAATTCTAATTTACATACCTGATGTTGTTGGATCAGCTGGTTTATGTGACGCTATATACTTTCTAGTCTTCCACCTGAATCTTTTCGAATAAATCGAAGTTTGAACAATTGTTACCTTTGTGAAATCTTCAGTGCCTTGTATCTGAAAGTCGACAGATTACAAGATAATTTCTAAGTAAAAACCTAACAAATGTTCTCTAGTAAGCTACTATCTCAGACCCTCTCTAAACATCTGGGCCTGAAAATTGACATTGTAAATAGATATTGAAGTGAAGTGAAGTGAAAGTTGCTCAGTTCTGTCTGAGTCTTTGCGACCCCATGGACTGTACAGTCCATGGAATTCTCCAGGCCAGAATACTGGATGTGGGTAGCCTTTCCCTTCTTCAGTGGATCTTCCCAACCCAGGGATTGAACGCAGGTGACCCGCATTGCAGGTGGATTCTTTACTATCTGAGCCACCAGGAAGCCCAAATAGACATTAGATATTGCTAAATACTTGGATATGTTAGTTTTGTGAAAGTCAATATTCTATATACTCTCACTGATTTTTAATTATTTTGTCCATTTTTATTACAAATGAGAAAAATAGTGAAGACTTAATCATCGATGACCCTTTAAAATATCACCCAGAGTATTTTTCTATGTGGCAGAAAGAAAGTCTGAATGTCAATGGATTTCAAGACATCTTCCAATCCAAACCCACAGTGAGGAGAGCCTTATGCCCAGGACAGTAGACAGAGTTGGGCAGGTTTGGGCTGCCTAAAGAACCTCTTTCTTGGTTATCTAAATTCCCAACCCAGCATCCCTAACTAAGTTCTATTATTACATATTCAGGAATAGCGGTAGGGAATACCATAGTTAAAAATAATATTTCACTTCCTCTCACTGGCTATCAGATTAGTGGTATCCATGCAGAAAATTTTCTTATGACCATTTCTCAGCTCAAGATTCCTCTTACCTCCAACATATTTTTCTTGTGTCTCATATTTACCTTTTAAGCAGTTCTATCATAGTTGTAAACATTTATGTATCTATTTAATATTTCTTTTTGCTTGGTTGAGAGATCTCTTGAGGGCAAGTTGCAAGACTCATTTGTTCTGATCAGTTTAGCATCTAGCACTGTGTCTGTCATAGTTGCCTAAAAATGGCTTACTTTAATTAACCCTAGGTCTCTCTTTCAATTTACTTTCTTTAGAAGTATTTTATGTGCCCTCTGATTCCCCCAGACATGTGCCTCTCTTACTCTACCCCAGTACACACATACACACACAAACACACACATATACTATGATATTCCTTCATTCTCTCTTTCTTCTCAGGGCACAGCTTTTCATTGTGATTGGGCTCCCCTGGAGGCTCAGACAGTAAAGAAACTGCTTGCAAAGCAGGAGACCCAGGTCCTGGAGAAGGGAATGGCTACCTACTCCAGTATTCTTGCCTGGAGAATCCCATGGACAGAGGAGCCTGGTAGGCTACATCCACGGGGTTGCAAAGAGTTGGACATGACTGAACAACTAAGCAGACCCGTAACCCAACAACTTAATATGAGAAGGTCCTTCATTTTTACACTCACTTTCAAAGTAGCTGAAGAAATACCAGTAATACTCAACTTCAGCTTAGGACTGAAAGAACCTTTTTACAGTACTGTTGATATAATCCAGAGAGAGTAGTCCTGAAATATGTACATGAACTGAATAGGTCCTCTTTTGCTATTTACAGTTGCACCAAAACCTAACTGTGGTCAAAATGTATCACTTGGCCTGATTCATTGACAGTGAATAGGAACAGTTTGGTGTTTGGGCTACGCAGTGCTAAAGCAATCAGTGAACTTGGAGTGTGTAGGCTGTGTGTGCCTTCATGGGGTGGTAGGGGAATGGGAGAGAACGGGAAGGTGGAAGAGTGACACTCTTTCTACTATTAACTCACTGTTGGACAAGTGGAATATTGACCGGAAGATATGAATCAGTATTTCTTTACCTGATGACATGTTATAGGAATTAAGAAAGGAGCCTTATAAGCTTTTCGTAACTGACAATCTTCTACAGCTCCATGGATGAGGATGACATAAATTACTGCTTCATCATAGATATCAGTTTTGGTGTTCTTTGGTATATCTTTTACATAAATGTTACTGAGTTTTAATTGCATCTTGTAATTCCAGTCCTAGGAAAAATACAATTTTGTAGTCTATTGTTTATAAAGATTAATATAAATTCCTAAATAGTTAATTTCTAACAATACTTTAGTTCATTTTCATTCAGAGAGAAGGACAATTTCACATAAGCACCTCTTACCTCATAAGATAAATGTTCCCTGATTTTTTTGGCAGTAATAGAAAGTCCAAGTTTTAGCCACATTCTGTATTCAATGTGAGGATAAAATTTTTCAAAAGCTTCATACAAGTGATTTTTGGGAATAAAACATGTCTGGAAAAAAGAGGATATCAACTTACTATTTCATTCTGTGCATTCATGATCCAATGAAATGAGATTTTCTCTTATATACATGTAACATTAAAGCTAATAATATTTAAATTATGCAGATTCATTTAATTGCCTGGAAACCTAATAAATGTATCTATTTAGTAAATATTTGTACAGTCTTATCATATACTAAGTATTAAAAGGCTGTATGATTTAATGAGATTTCATTATTCTTATAGATTCTGAAAAAAATAGAAAACAAAGATTCAAAGATCATTTAACCCTTTAAACTAAAGACATAAGTATTTCTAAAAACATTATTTGGGGGGAGCAAATGTTTTGGTCAGTAATAAAACACTGATACTAACAATAATTAGACTACTGACTCTTAGGAATAAGCTGCTATGAAGACACAAGAGACTGTGTTTGTTGGTTTTAAATTCTCTTGGTAAGCAGCTATGAGTAGATTTGCTGGGTAATATAGTAAATGTCTATTTATAATAAACTGCTAACCTGTTTTCAGATGAGGCTGTAATATTTACCCTTTAACTAGCCATGTATGAGAATTTCAGTTGCTTAACATCCTTGCTAATACTGTGTGTTCAACTTAGGTATTTTTAGCCAATGTAGTATGCATACAGGGATAACTTATCATGATTTTAATTTGTGTTTCCCTGAGCACTAATGATATTGAGCATCTTCTTCATATGTTTATGGGCCATTTGTATATTCTTTTATGAAGTATCTGTTCAAATCCATTGCCCAATTTTAAATCCTGAAGCATAGTTGATTTACAATATCTTATTAGTTTTAGGTGTACAACACAGTGATCCAATATTATTATAGATTGTACTCCATTTGAAGTTATTGCAGAGTATCGACTCTGTTCCCTGTGCTGTGCAATATAGGCTTTACACGCGGTGATTGTGCCTCTTAAGCCCCAAGCCAGAATCCTGAAGTGGGCTGCCCTATTCTGTCCTACTCCCTTTCCTCTCCCTGCTGATAACCACTACTTTGTTTTCCATTTCTGTACATCTGTTTCTGTTTTGTCATATTAACTTGTTTTATTTTTTATATTCCACATAAAAGTGATAACTTACAGTACTTGTCTTTCTCTGTCTTTCTATAATTTCATTAAATATAATACCCTCCAAGTCCATCCATCCATGTTGTCACAAATAGCATAATTTCATTCTTTTTTGGTTTAGTAATACTATATATATATATATATTGAGATATACATATATATGTCTATATATATATATCTCAAATCTCCTTTATCCATTCATTTGTTGATGGATATTTCGGTTGCTTTCACATCTTGGCTGTTATAAATAATACTACTGTGAATATGGGGGAACATGGGTCTTTTCAAATTCATGTTTTTATTTTCTTCACATACCTAGCTAAGAGCAGAATTCCTGGATCATATGATAGCTCTATATTCAGTTTTTTTGAGCAACCTCCATACTGTTTTTCAAAGTGGCATAAATTTACGTTCCTGCCCACAGTGTAGGTTGATGGTGGTGTTGTTTAGTCACTAAGTCATGCCTGACTCTTTTGTGACCCCATGGTCTGCAGCCTTCCAGGCTCCTCTGTCCATGGGATTTCCCAAGTAAGAACACTGGAGTGGGTTGCCACTTCCTTCTTCAGGGGATCTTCCTGACCCAAGGCTCAAACCTGCGTCTCTGGCATTGGCAGGTGGATTATTTACTGCTGAGCCACCAGGGAGACCTCGAAGGGTTCCCTTCATCCACATCCTCGCCAATATTTGTTATTTGTAGGCTTTCTGATGACAGCCACTGTGACAGAGGTGAGGTGATAACTCACTGTGATGTTGATTTGCATTTCTCTGATATTTAACAATGATGAGCATCTTTTCATGTGCCTGTTGACCTTCTGTATATCTTATTTGGAAAAATATCTATTCAGGTCTTCTGCCCATTATGTAATTGAGTTGTTTTGATATTGAGTTGTATGAGCTGTTTATGTGGTTTGGATATTAATCTGTTATTGGTCATGCAATCTGCAAATATTTTCTACTGATCAATAGGATGCCTTTTTATTTTGTCAATGGTTTCCTTTTCCGCAGAAAGGCTTTTAAGATTAATTAGGTACCACTTGCTTGTTTTTGCATTTGTTTCCTTTGTCTTAGGAGACATATTCAAAAAAATATTGCTATGGTTTATGTCAAAGAGTGTTCTGCCTACGATCCCTTCTAGAGTTTACAGTTTACAGCCTTACATTTAAGTCTTTAATTCACTTTCAATTTTGTATTTCATGTGATAGAAAGTTATAATTTCATTCTTTTACATATAGCTGTCCAGTTTTCCCAGCAACACTTATTGAAGAGCCTGTGTTTTCACCACTGTATGTTTTTGCCTTGATTTAGATTAGTTGACCACAAGTACATAGGTTTATTTCTGGATTCTCTGTCATGTTCCATTAATCTGTGTCTCCTTTGCCTTTAGCTTCTCTTCTTTTCTCAGCTATTTGTAAGGCCCCCTCAGACAACCATTTTGCCCTTTTGAATTTCTTTTTCTTGGGGATGGTCTTGATCACTGCCTCCTGTACAATGTCACAAACCTTCATCCATAGTTCTTCAGGCACTCTGTCTATCAGATCTAATCCCTTGAATCTATTTGTCACTTCCACTGTATAATCGTAAGGGATTTGATTTAGGTCATACCTGAACGGTCTAGTGGTTTTCCCTACTTTCTTCAATTTAAGTGTGAATTTGGCAATAAGGAGTTCATGATCTGAGTCACAGTCAGCTCCTGGTCTTGTTTTTGCTGACTGTATAGAACTTCTCCATCTTTGGCTGCAAAGAATATAATCAGTCTGATTTTGGTATTGACCATCTGGTGATGTCCATGTGTAGAGTCTTCTCTTGTGTTGTTGGAAGAGGGTATTTGCTATGACCAGTGTGTTTGCTTGGCAAAACTCTGTTAGACTTTGCCCTGCTTCATTTTGTACTCCAAGACCAAATTTACCTGTTACCCCAGGTGTCTCTTTCCTTCCTACTTTTGCATTCCAGGCCCCCATGATGAAAAGGACGTTTTCTTTGGGTGTTAGTTCTAAAAGTTCTTGTAGGTCTTCATAGAACTGTTCAACTTCATCTTCTTCAGCATTATTGGTTTGGGGCATAGACTTGGATTACTGTGATATTGAATGGTTTGCCTTGGAAATGAACAGAGATCATTCTGTCATTTTTGAGATTGTATCCAAGTACTGAATTTTGGACTCTTTTGTTGACTATGATGGCTACTCCATTTCTTCTAAGGAATTCTTGCTCACAGTAGAAGATATAATGGGCATCTGAATTAAAATTGCCCATTCTAGTCCATTTTGGTTCACTAATTTCTAACATGTCGATGTTCATTCTTGCCATCTTGTTTGACCACTTCTAATTTACCTTGATTCATGGATTTAACATTCCTAATGAATCAATACTTTGTTTCAAAGTTTATATTCCTGATGTGAGTATTGATACACAGCTTTCTTATTTATATTTCCATGAAATATTTTTTCCCATCCCTTCACTTTCAGTCTGTGTATATCTTTAGCTCTGAAGTGAGTCTCCAGTAATCAGCACTGTTTTTTATTCAATTACCTAACCTATGTCTTCTGACTGGAGCATTTAGCCTGTTGACATTTAAAATGATTACTGATAGGTGTGTGCGTATTGCCACTTGTTTCCTGGTTGTTTTTGCAGTTCTTCTCTGCCCCTTTCTCCTTTTTTAGTTCCTTCCTTTGTGGTTTGATGATTTTCTTTAGAGATACGCTTTGTTCCTTTCTCCTCTAGCTTTATGAGTGTCTATTGTGGGTTTGTGACTTGTGTTTACTATCACGTTCATATATGTTAACCTGTAACTAGATCTACTTGTTTTAAACAGATAGTCATTTAAGTTCAAACATATCCTAAAATTGCTTTCTTTACTCTATTCTCCCAGGTTTTATGTCTTTGATGTCATATCCCTAACTATTTATTCTAGTCCTAGTTGATTTTACAATTTTTTTGTCTTTTAATCTTGTAATAACTTAATTGACTGATGCACAGGCTTTACTATATATTTGCCTTTATTAGTGGGTTATTTTTCCTTTCTGGACTTTTACTGCCATCCCCAAACTACTCTTTTCAATTCTAAACTTTTCACTTGATCTTCTCTTGAGTATTTCCTGTGTCTTCTTCATAAAGATCACATTCTTCTTTAGTTGCGTGAACACGCTTCCTTTCAGTCCTTTGGATCTCTTCTTAGCTCCTTGGTGTCCTCGTTTAGTCTGCAGTCTGGTTGATCTCAGTGTTGCTCCACTCCCCCTTTCCACATTCAGGGTCACATTTTCATGCCCCTTCGCTTGCTTAGTAATTCAGGATTCCTGAAGATTAATTGTTGATATTCCAGATTCTGTTATCTTCCTGTGACCATTGCTGATGTTTGTTGCGGTAGACCCCTTCATTTACTGTCTGATAACCTTGACTTTGTATGGGTTGTGTTTTATGATTTGTTTTGTTTAATGAGTAGAAAAGTCTAGGCATTTTCCATGATTGTGTAATTTCATGGTACTTAACCTCCAAACAAGTCTGCCAGGGCTTGCTCTCAGGTTTGTTTTAGTAAATTTAGAGATAGTCTTACTAGGCCATGATATTTGCTCTTAAGGTGTATTCCTTCTGGTTGCTCACCTGCATGCCAGAGGTTTTAAAAAGTCTCTCCTTTCTATCAAGACAGAATCTTAAAATATCTCAAATCCCTGACACTCCTTGACTTTTAACATCTCTGTTTCATTCTTAGCAATCTGGTAGTTTGGTTTTGTCTTACCTTGTGCATTGCAGCCTGTCCCTCAACCACCGAATTGTGGACCATAGATTCCTCAGGTCTCCCTCTGTGAGCTCGGATCCTATGCCCTGCTCTACAGGTTCCAGTCTTCTTTAGCTGCCACAGTTTCTAACCTCTCCCATCTCAGCTCAGGAGGATCATTATTTTCCACTTGGATTCTTAGTGAACTGCGGTCAGAAACTGCCCCAGTCAGAGAGTGAAGGTGGATGTGGAGCTTATCTCGTGAGTTTCTCTTCTCTTGAGGTTTCCAGACTCAACACTTCCTGTTTTCCAATGGTTGAAAATATTTGCCTCATATATTTTGTCAAGTTATGGTTATTTATGGTAAGTGTGCCACTGTACTCTCAGTAACTTCCTTATATCCAGAAGCAAAAGGCTAGAGTATTTCTATGCAAACGTCAGATATCATATAATTTCACTTATAAATATTCTAATATGCGTTGTTGAATGATAGAGACAAAATTTTCCTTTGCCTTTTTCTTCCTCTCCTTCCTCTTCCCTTTTCCTTCCTTTGGTTTGTTAAAAAATAAATGGGTTATTGGCCTGTTGACACCCCACACTCTAGATCTAGCGAATCACCCTCTCTTGGTGTTGGTTAACTTGTTTCCTGAATTTTCTGTAAACTGGTTGGACCTAGAGGCTTCAGGTTTCTCTTTCCTGCACAAGAAGAGTCCAGGGTGCCAGCACTCCTGTTGCATCAGATTGTGACGCACGCGGCGCCCAACTGCCATTGTGTTATTGATGCCAGGATTGCCCGCAGGTGGCGTTAGTGTGGTTTCCATGCAAAGTGTTCCACCAACATTCCGCTTGGCAGTCTTAGTATCAGTCGGTGGTTATTGCATAGGTCCATTATTTCATTAGGGCTGGCTAAATGGAGATCTTTTAATTCTTTTATTCTACATTTATTGGCTTGAATTCTTCTATACAGAGCAATTTTCCTCTTCTTTTTTTTTTTATGTAGTTTTCTTGAAAGAGTTCATAGAGGAAAGGCAGGATAAATGTTTAATTATTTCTTTTTTAAAATAAGCAATCCATTTTCAGAGATATAAGTTGATATCCTAGCAATCTTTTTAAAATAAAAACTTGATACTATTATCAACTTATGAATTTTTATGTTTGTGGTTTTATTGTTTACAGTCACTGCTCTTTTTGAATTCACATTAGGCCACTAAGAGCCCCTGTTGCTTTGAGGATTTTGTTGTGACTTGTGTGTCAGAAACTTCTGTTCACTGTGCTCAACTTTCTATTAATAAATCCCAGCTCTTTGACTTTTTCCCTTCTTTACCCTCCAAATTATGGTATTCACATCTAACATATCCCATCTAATTTCCCATGGGACATCTCATATAACCAGTTTTTCTGGTTAAATCCTTTTTCCAATATGGTAGGTTAACTTTTGTAAGCCATTTTTGCTAAGACACTACATTGTGTACATAAAATTCTGTAACAAGTTCTATTTCTTTATTATTCCTATTTCTTAAAATATGTTCACTAGACCACAAACATAAACAAATAGAAAAATAACTGTAAATTTGGTGCTAGATATTTAACAAGCTACAATAATAAGACATAAGGTGACATTTCCTGACCTCTACTACAGTTTTGCAGGTGGCAGAATATTTCATGGGCGCATTAGTCAAGCAGTTTAGCTCTCCTATCACTGCCCCACTGATCACAAAGTCTGTGTAAGTTATCTGGTAATCTTTCTCCTCTGACTCCCAGATTATTTGATCAATTCCCAAACCTGGCTTTGATCTTTGAAGCTGTTCAAGAACAAAGAAAGAAAGAAAGAAAGAAAAATACATGAACCAGTTAACTTACCAAAACTATTTGATTTATGGCTTTTCCCTTTAACAATTTTAAATACTTGCATATTGCCTGAAAATATGTATTACTTATAACTGTTAAGGTGAATTTATTAAATTAGCAATGACTTGGAAACAAAACATTCTTAAATACTCTCATCTTTTTGATTCTACCAACTCAACCAATTAATACCTGTCATAGAATAGCTAAATGCCTAACTCAAATATAAGATAAATAACAACTTATCTTATAACTCTCAACCTTAATGCTGATCCTTTTAAAGTTTCTTGTTATCTATGGGAAGGTATGGCTTAACAAGTGATAGCTGGTGTTATTCATTGTGTTTGAGGAAGATAATTGTTGTTTGGATAGTAGCTACTGTCCTAAAAAAAGGATTACTAGAGTTCTTAGCATTGAAAGATATTAATTCTCAATTATGTAATGTTTTTAACTAATGCTCACAAGTGCATTTATAAATATCTCTGCCTTACCTTTACCATACCTGAAATAATTACATAAATTCCTTTAGGCTCATCACCTTCTTCAAATATATCATTTCCACAATCAAATGTTACAACTCTGGATCTTTCCTAGAAAATGTCACCAAATACATAAACTACAAATAATATTTTAGCAGTGATTAGAGTTTACATTTGAATAAAAGTTTTATGCTTTTAAAGTAAATATTACTCAAAAAGATCTGAGACATTGTATTAGTAATAAATTTGTAAGAGAAGATGGGAATTATGGCTAAAAGAGAGAACGTGGATATTAATGAATATATGTAATTTCAGGTGGGGTATTTATACATAAATTAGAAAACAATCTAACTTAAGAATTAAAATGTATGGAAAGGTGAAAATATTTCTTTGGATGAAAAATAATCTGAACAGATACAAGCTAATGGCACATATATGTCTTAGACATACTCATGCTCTAAACAGCAGATGAAGTAATAAAAATTCAATCATTCAAAATATTTTAGCCAGGTGAAAAAAGTATAATTGGTCTTTTGGAGCTTACTAAATATAGAAAAATGTTATTAGAACAGGTTAAATCATTTATTTGTTCATCCCAGAAACAGCTATTGAACACCCAGTATGTGAGATACAACATGATAGGCACTGAGTAGTCAAAAGTTTGATGAGACAAGTATTATAGAAGGGGGGAGAGGTATAAAGATGATAATTGTAATGTGGTGCAATTATGCTATAATAAAGGTGTATACTGGATGCAATGGTGACATCTTTGGTTCTCCAAACTCTGGATGGATCATAGGTTGGTCTTTTACTGGTATTTGACTCTAAAGCCTGTTTTTAGAGAATGTTTCCAGAGAAGAAATGAGCAGAGGCAGTTTGGGGGGGTGGGGTGGGGTGGGAGGTGAAAACAAAGGGCATTTTACGATCAGTAAATAGCACTCATATATGATAGAGGGCTTCATCAACAGTAAGAGGTTCATATGTAGGTTGAAAATCAAGTATGTCTCTTTTTTTGGCCATAATTATCTAAAACCACCAAAGTTAAGAAAGGAGATGAACAAAACTGGTGTTAATGAAATGTTTAAAACAAATATGAGTTGTACTATATTCTTTTTCTTCATCTCCTGAGATTTCTGTTCTTCCATGGAAAACTTCAACCTATCCCGTCTTGAAGCATTTTCCTATGTTATCATTATTCTGAAGTCATAGATTATTTTTAAAAGTAAATCTTTTTACTGAAGTATAGCAGATTTGCAAAAGTGCACAAACCCTAAAAGTCCACTCAAAGAACATTTGGAACATGAAAACATCTGCATAACCATAACCAAGATTAAAAACATCAGTTGCACCTTAGAATCCTCCTTTATGTCCTCTAGAAGAGGTCATTACTTCTATCCCAAAGTAATACTCTTCTTCTTTACCATGGTTTAGCTTTTGTCTAGTTTTGAGTGTTATCCGCATGAAATCAATGTATGTACTTCTTTGTGTTTCATTTGTTCAACATAATGTTTCTGAAGTTCATTTATAACGTTCAGTTCAGTCGCTCAGTCATGTCCGACTCTGCGACCCCACGGACTGCAGCACACTAGGCCTCCCTGTCCATCACCAACTCCTGGAGTTTACTCAAATTTATGTCTATTGAGTCAGTGATGCCATCCAGCCATAATGTTGCAAGGAACAAAAATTCTTTCCATGTTCACTGTTGTGTAGTGTTATGTTTTATGACTATACCACAGTTTTATTTACCTGTTGTTGATTGACATTTGGGCTGTTTCAGTCTGGAACTTTTGAAATGCCACTTTCTATGAGTGTTTGTTCTCTGTACATATATACACATTTCTGTTGTATACCTGGTTATATAATTTAATTTCTGTGTCTTAAGATATGTATATGTCCAAATTTAGTAAATTCTGACAAGCAATTTTCCGAAGTGATTGCACCAGTTTATGCTCCCTTTCTAATGTTTCGGTTATTCCACATCATTGCCTACATGTGGTATTGTCAGCCTTTTTTTTAAAATTTTAAGTACTTTGATGATTGTGTATCGGTATTTTATTTTGGGTTTTTATTTGCATTAAGCTTATGATGATGACACTTGGCATCTTTTCTTATATTTACTGGGTGCTAGAATATTCTCTGTTGGGAAGTGCCTGTTCAAACTTTTTGCTGATTTTTTAAAAACATGAATTTTTTTCTTGTTCTTTTTGATTTGTAAGATATATTATGAAAATAAGACCTTTTTTGGATATATTTATTTTGAAAATATCCTCTACCTTTTTTGTGGTATCTTGTATCTTTCTTTGCCTCTCATTTTCTGCATTACTGTCTTCTGTATTTAGTTGATGTTTTTTTGTAGTGAAACACTTGAAACTACCTTCTTGCCTATTTTTATGTAATTCTTTAGTTATTTTCCTTTTTATTACCATGGGGATTACATTTATCATCCTAAAATATAACACTCTAATTTGAATTTATACCAGTTTAACTTCCATAACATACAAAACTCTGTTCCTTTAATAGTTCCATCCTTACCCCTGTAGTTGACATCACAAAATTACACCTTTGTATGTTGTCTATCCAAAACATAAATGAATATTTTTTAAATGCTTTTATCTCTTAAATTATGTAGAAAACAAACTATAACATTATAAGTCAAAGATATAATACTGCTAGCTTTTAGACAAATAGTTACTTTTAAGAATGTATTGGTGTCTTAAATCATGTAGAAAACAAAAAGCAAAGTCAGACACCATTATTACAACAATGCTGGCTTTAATGATTGCCCACGTATTTAACTTTATGAGGTTTTTATTCCTTCATATGGTTTGAGTTATTGCCCACTGTCCTTTCTTTTCTATCTGTATGGTATCTTTTAGCATTTCTTTCAGGGCAGGTATAGTGGTAATGAACTCCCTCGGCTTTTGTTTGTTTGAGAATGTCTTCATTTTCCTCTCATTTCTGAAAGACAGTTTTGCTGGATATGAGTTTCTTAGTTGATTTCTGCTGCTGCTGTTTAGTCACTAAGTTGTGTCTGATTCTTTGCGACCCCAAGGGACTGTAGCCCGCCAGGTTCCTCAATCCATGGGATTTCCCAGACAAGAATACTGGAGTGGGTTGCTATTTTCTTCTTCAGAGGATCTTCCCAGCCCATGCACCAAACCTTTTTCTCCTGCGTGGCAGGCAACTTCTTTACCAGTTAACCACCTGGGAAGCCCTCTTAGTTGACTACATTTTTTCTTCTAGCACTTTGAACATATCAGCCCACTTTCTTCTGGTATCCAAAATTTCTGATGAGAAATCTGATGATGATTTTATTGAGGATCCCTTGTATGTGATGAATTTTTAATCTTTTGCTGATTTCAAAGTTCACTATCTTTCAGCAATTTGGTTATAGTATGTCTTGGTGTGGGTCTATTTGAGTTCATCTTACTTGAAGTTCACTGAGCTTCTTAGATGTTAATATTCATGCTTGATATCAAGTGTAGGAAGTTTTAAGCCAATATTTATTTAAATTTCCTCTCTGTTCCTTTCTCTCTCTCTCTCTTGTCTTCATGGGACAGCTACAATGCATATGTTGGTTCACTGATGGCTTCTCACTGGTCCCTTAGACTCTTCACTTTTCTTCAATCTTTTTCTTTCTAGTCCTCAGATAATATAATTTCCATGGACCTGTTTTCAAGGTGACTTGTTTTTCTGCCTATTTAAATATGCCTTTTAGTTCCTGCTACATGTGTGTTATATATATTTTACCTTGAGTTCAAGCTTAAGGATTTAGAGTTTCTAATTACTACCAATGAATACAATATTTTTCCACATTTTCTTTAGTTTGAAATACTTTTTAATGTTGATCTTGTTTCTGGAAGCCCTGTTGAATTATTTTATTGGTCCCATATTATTCACCTGAAGTTAATTCTCAGGGTTTTAGATTAAACAATCAATAAGCAATAATAGTTTTGTCCATTCTCCAAAACTTCCATATTTCAAGTTCCTTTTGTTTTTCTGCTGAGACCTACAAACACAGCTTTCACCACTTGGAATGAACTATTCATTTTTATTTTTTCCTGACTCTAATGGGAATATTGCTTAAAGTTTTGCCATCTAATACAATGTTTTTTTCATATTTTTAATATATATTCTTTATTTAGTTAAGAATGCTGCTTATTTTATTAGCCCTTGAACATTCTGAATAAGAGTTGAATTTTATCAATGACTTGTCTTCTTTGATCCTCAATAAGTGAGTTATACAGCTATTTTGAGAGACAAAACCTTTTTAGTTATAGCATGTGTTGCTTTGCCTATACTGCCAGATTCAATTAGCTACTATTATGTTAAACAGTTTTATATATGTATTCACAAGTATAATAGCTTTATTTTTTTCTTATACTATTCCTGATTTGGAGCATAAATTTTATACTTACAGAATGAGTTGGGACCCTCTCTATCTTTTTACATTTCCCGATACCATTCAAACAACTTGAAGAAAGAAAATTTAATTAGTTTTTACCCTATAATTGAGTGTTCTTATAAATCACAGTTTCTATGGGAAAATTATTTTGGTGTCATAGATAACTACCAGGAACACACTAATACACGCAGTCTAGCCTAGGGAGAGGAATGATTTCACTGTACCTTTGTTTTGGGTACAAAGCATAGAAAGACGTGGTCCCTCATTGTGGCAAGAAAGGAAAGACAAGTTGACCATTAAAGTTGCCGAGAGGAAACTCTTCTGGTAGGTACTTTTCTTTAGACAATTATTTTAAGTAATGTATTTACATTGCAGAAATGGCCTATATTGGAAAGGACTGAAAGCAGGTTTGAAGATCATAAATGACTATCAAGTAAGAATATTTGCTTTGAAAATATTCCACCATACCTTGTTAATTTCAGAACCTTCAATTTTATGAAGAATGCCTTTTAACCTGAAAACTTTAACAATTTCTTTAGCCAAACTGAGCATGACATTAATTTCCTCCTTTGTTTTCATAATGACAGCGATTTCTGGGTGATCATACTCTAAGTAGCCTGAAAAATAACAAAATATTTTCAGATGAAATAGGACATTGCTTAAATATTTCATGCGGACAGTAAGTTAATATTTATTTTCTAAACCCATGAAGCACAACCCTTATCACAGGGAAATGTATCTCTCCCTAAAGAGATTTCTGTAATCAATCAAAATTCACCCATAATTGCGGAGTTCTGCCTGACATTTCCTTGTCGGCAGCCCCGTACTGTGTCTAAGCCCATGAAGAAGGACAGACAACCCTAGTCCTAGGATTAACAGTTATACGATGCACCTACACCAGACGCTGAGAGGCTCTCCTGGGCTCTAGGTCTAAAGTTTATGACCCGATTTTTTATTCTGTTTGAATCAAGATTTCTGACAATAGACTGTGTGCTTAAACATGGCTTCTGATCAAGTCCTCTCACTCATTCTGGGTCATTTCCACTCATCCTGCCTGGGCATCTAGATGATGCATCCATCTATGTCCTGCTAATGTGATGTAGATTCCTAGGTGCCCATGAGAGTTTCATCCACTTAGAAGTTTTTCTTGGTCATGACCTCTTGTCTGACTTGACAACTCTCTGCCATGCAAGATCTCTCATGATTGGGCTCATTCCAGATTTGCTGTGTTCTTTTACTGTCCACCATCTGTACCAAACTCCCTTTTCTGAACATACAGACACTATGCCGTAGGGATGTCTGTCTCACTCCCAGGATTTGTCCTGCACTAGGACCATGACCTGGCACAATTCAGAGAACAGGCTGTTGTCATGTGTGAGCACTGAGCCTTCTAGCAGCCAAACCAGCAATTCCGTGAGATTCTGTTCTGATTTCAACTCATTTTAAAGCCTAAATCCTCAGATGGCAACTCTGTGGCAAATGGAGAAAAAAATAACTTCTTTCCTTGTGTTGCTCAGCATAGTACGTTTGGAAGAAAATAGAATTTGTAGTGTGATAAAGACATGCACAATCATGGCATGCTAATGTATTTTCTTTAAACAGAAATGAAAAGGTCTTCATTGTCACATAAGGCAGAAAAAGCAAATGTGGAGGGGTAATATTACACTATCCTCATTCAAAGAGATGATCATGTTGATCGTTGGAGTGATTCACTTTATTATTGATAAGTAGATCTCCTCAAAGATCAGTTTAGTTATCAAAACCATTGCCTTTCTAAAGGAGTGATGATAAAGAAATGGTCATGCTAGATCTTTAGGGTGAGAGGTACCTACCTAGTTCTTTCATAGCATGTCCTGTGTTCTTCGTTACCCTCCTTAATAACATCTATGGAACAAAAGAAATATTATTCTTATTGGAAAACAAACTGTTATAAAAAGCCTTTACATTTACAACTGATTAATTTTTTACCTGAATTAATAACTGTAAAGAAAAATATGATGGAGATTTTTCAGGAACTCGAATTGAATTTTGTGCATGTGTGCCAAGCCACTTCAGTCATGTCAGACTCTGCAACACTAGGGACTGTGGATTCTTCAGGCAAGAATACTAGAGTGGGTTGCCGTGTCCTCCTCCAGGGTATTGTCCTGACTCGAATTGAACCCGTGTCTCTTGTGTGCCTGCATTGGCCAGCAGGTTCTCTACCACTAGCACCACCTGGGAATTTTGTGCAATGAATTTTATTTTACTCCAGCAAGAGTAGTGGAGAAGATGGGAAGTGTCATTACCTAGGCTGATTTTGAGAAACCCAAAGGTAAGTCATATATTTTTTCTTAAAGTAACTTACTTTAGGATACTGTTGATTCTGAAAAATACAGGCAAGCGAGGTATTTCCCACTCAATTTTTGAGAACCTCTGAATTTAGGAAATACATGTGGTTTTCAACCATAAATGAGATAGAAGTTTTAACCAAAATATGTGAGAGCAGAAATGAGGATTGAAACTGGCCAATATCTTAAATATTCAAGTCCTTTTGTATTTTCTACTGTGTATCCTCAATGTGAGTGAGTATAAAAGGTAACAAAATTCAGCAAAGGTTTTAAAGTTACAGGTGGTGAAGAGAGAAAAGATACAGTGATTTGTGTTCAACTACATTTTGAGTGTTCAATGTTCTCAACTATAGAACTTTGGGCATATGACATATAGCATTAAAATATTCTAAATTATCTTGAAAGATGACTGTCTAATTTCACATCGATGACAAACTTAGGGGCACACATCAGTGTTAATCTGACTCAATCGAGAAAATGAAAAATAAAATATAGAACTTAGGCCCTAGCATTCTGTTTGCTGATTGCTAGCTGTGTAGTGACTTTGGACATAATCATTAAATCTTTCTTGGCTTCATTTTTCTCATCTGTAAAATGAGGGAATTAGATATGGTTTCCCTCTAAATAAGTTACTGGTACTTCTTTCTACTTGTCAGATCCCCATCTCTCATTTTTACTATTTAATGTGGGAAAATCAAGCATATAGAGAAACAGAAGGAGATTTGGAGATTATGAGGAAGGTCTGTCTGCTCAACCTTGCCAGCACTTATCATTCTCCAGTATTTCCTATTTAATGCATCTTAGCCTGATAGATCCTGGAACTTGCATTGAGAGAAGCTCATTTGTACACATGGGTTTCATGATAGCTCCAAAAGGACCAAAATGTGTGCCCCAAGAGGCTCATAACTTGTTTTTTTTTTTTTAACTCATTCAAAGTATATAATTAAATGGTTTTTTAATATATTCATGGCATTGTGCAATCATCCTCACAATTTTAAAATCTGGACATTTCTTATACATTGAATCATACTGTGAGTGCTTTGTGACTATCTTCTTTCAGTTAGCATGCTTTCAAAGTTCATCCATGCTATAGTATTGATACTTCATTCTTTTTATTGCTTAATAATCTTAGTATTCCATTGTGCAATTACATCACATTTTATTTATCAGTTCAACAGTTGATAGACATGTGGGTTGTCTCAACTTTTTGGCTGGCATGAATAATGCTATTTACAAGAGCCAAGACATGGAGACAACCTGAATGTCCTTTGACAGATGAGTGGGTAAAGATGATGCGACACATATACATAATGGAGTACTATTCAGCCATAATAAGAAAATACCCTTATTTTCAGAAACACAGATGGGCCTAGAGGAGCCTCATAACTTGCTACTGTGTCATAGACACTTCAGTGAGGAGTCATCTGAGTAATATAAATGTCGACTGGTTTCTGTTTTTGCAAAAATTTCTCAGCAAACCAAGAGTCAGAGCTCACCTCTACATATATAGAAAGAAGACATGATGGGTGAGGGCAACTGAGGAGTGAGGGAAATGAACCATTTTCTTAGTATTTAAAGTTTTCCTCACCTGTTTAACCTGTTTAGAACTTGCAATCTTATCAATTATAGTCATTATATCTGCTTCACCTTGGATATATCCTTTTAGTATAGCATATCTAAAGGACAGCTGATGGCTCATCCTTTTATCTAATATTTGCAGCAACCTTGGTGTTACAAGCTGAAAAAAACAAGATATTTAATATAATTTGTACAAATTATGGTTGATTTTATGTTGGCTAGTTTAAAATAGATAATAATAAGAAATGACATGCTCTCAATGGTAACTATAGCAGCTTGTCAAGATTCTTAGTTATTTTATTCACAGAATCTCTAACTTCATGGCTAGAGCTATTTCCCCATAACTAATAATATTAGATGCCTACATAAAGTTAAGACTTTATTTTTTACTTATTTCCATTGTAGAGAATTGCATGATATTTTAAGGGATTTTATTCTTGGGAAACAATGTGTTTAATCTTCTGGGCTTAGGTCACAAAATGACTTGTCTATGAAGTACTGCCACTTTTACCCACTAAACCTCCCACTAAACTTTTCACTAGATGGTCCATAGTTCATTTGAGTTAGAGCTCACCACAACTATGGTCCTTATTTGACCTCACAATTAACTTCTCATTGTTTCTTTGCTGAGGATTTAAGTCTTCAGCTTAACTGTCACCACTGTACTGTCTCCTAACTTCAGCAGAACTGGCCAAACCCTACCTTTTCCCATCTTTGCTCCACACTTCTTCACACTTATACAGAGAATAATTACTGGTTATATTGCTATAGAAAGACATTAGACAATTAAAGGTCATTTTAGATGCTGTGATTTTATAATACTGTGAGTTTATATAACACAAAATGTGCATTTTTCAGTTTCTTAATTTGTATGAATGTATACTACTTGCATTGTCACTGCAAACATACATGGTTTGCTTTGCTAGTTTCTATCATTTATTTCAGGTATTCATAAGAATAAATGTTACTTTGGGGTTTCCATGTGCTTTCTACTGAAAGGAAAGGCTGTGATGGGTATTTCTGTACTTTCATGTGCTAAATGAATTTCTAATATAATTTAAATATTCATAATATAATCTGTTATGAGACAACTTGTCAAAAGAATCTAAATATAAACATCAGCCCAACAGAAAGTGGAAACCACAAAACTAGTAAGCTGATTTTCATCCATATTTCATGAAGTAGTCAGAAGAAATTTGAAACTGCTTGATTTAATAGTTCTTTACCTTCAAAATGCGTAGGATGCGAAGAAATCTAACAACTTTTATAATGATGACTGTTTGAACCAAATCAAAAATATAATAATTAATGAGATTTGTCTCAATCAGAATTACATCTATGATGCCAACTAGCGTAATTGTTAGCTCAAATAGATTCCAGGCATGGAAAAAATATTCCTTCCTCATTGCTGCTATCTGTTGATTTAAAAAGAAATTGCACTACCTTATTTGTTTTTGCTTTCACATTATTCTCCATAATAACTGAAACATGAATAGTTAAGTTTTTCTCTGATGTACATTAAGACTCTACATGTCTGAAATACTAGTAAGTGATCACATCAACTTGAAATTAAATGGCTAAAACATTGAAGCATCTATTCCAAGACAGAAAATATTCAAAATACCTACTAATTCATTCATTATTTGTTTAAAAATATTTTATTGAAATCTTATTATAAACAAGCAAGTCAAGAAACAACAGTTAGAATCAGGCACGGAACAAGGGACTGGTTCAAAACTGGGAAAGGAGTACATCAAGGCTGTATATTGTCACCCTGCTTATTTAACTTATATGCAGAGTACATCATGCAAAATGCCGGGCTGGATGAATCACAAGCTAGAAGGGATCAAGATTGCTGGGAGAAACAAAAACAACCTCAGATATGCAGATGATAGCACTCTAATGGCAGAAAGTAAAGAGGAACTAAAGAACCTCTTGATGAGGGTGAAATAGGAGAGTGAAAGAGCTTGCTTAAAACTCAACATTCAAAAAACAAAGATCACAGCATGTGGTCCCATCATTTCATGGCAAATAGATGGGGGAAAAGTGGAAACAATGTTAGATTTTATCTTCTTGGACTCCAAAGAGGCCCACGTCACTGTGAATGCTGGCTGCAACCATGAAATTAAAAGATGTTGCTCCTTGGAATGAAAGCTATAACAAACTTAGACAGCATATTAAAAAGCAGAGACATTACTTTGCCAGCAAAGGTCCACGTAGTCAAAGCTATGGTTTTTCCAGTAGTCATGTACAGATGTGAGAGTTGGGCCATAAGAAGGGCCAAAGAAATGATGTGTTCAAACTGTGGTGCTGGCGAAGACTCTTGAGAGTCCCTTGGACAGCAAGGAGATCCAGCCAGTTAATGGAAATCAACTCCGAGTATTCACTATAAGGCCTGCTGCCGAAGCTCCGATACCTTGGCCACCTGAGCAAAGAGTCAACTTATTGGAAAAGATTTTGATGCTGGGAAAGACTGAGGGCAGGAGAAGGGGGTGACAGAGGATGAGATAGTTCCATAACATCACCAACTCAATGTACATGAATTTGAGCAAACTCCAGGAAATAGTGAAGGGCAGGGAAGCCTGGTGTGCTGCAGTCCATGGGGTCATAAAGAGTCAGACAGGACTTAGTGACTGAAGAACAGCAACTATAACTAAGAGAGTGGGAATAGTCAAAAATGACTGTGGATTCCAGCCTGGGAAATTAGATTTCCAGTGGAACTTTGAAGAAAGAGTAGGTTTAGAGATGATAAGTTTATTTTGAATAAATTATTTGAGATGTTGTTTTGTTGTAGAGACTCAATCATCAGTTGTCTATATGATCTGAGGCTCTGAACAAAATCCAAGCAGAAGACATAAGTTTGGGAGTCATGAGATGGTAGTTGATGCCAGAGAAGTGACTGAGATAGCCTGGCCCATGAGACCCTGTCTCATAACTCATGTCTGTGCCTTTTGTTTTATTTTCCACATCCTCCACACAAATTTAACATCTCTCTAGTCTTCATCCTGACCAATCCTGTCATTAGGAATAGGGTTCCTTGTGTGTGTCACATTGTCACTTATAAGTTTTCCTTTGTTCTTGTTGTCTATTCTGCTCCATACTCACATGTTCAGTCTCTACTTTGACTCCTATTCATTATTCAAAGTTCAACTGAAGCATCTCCTTTCCTTAATAGACTTGTTTCTCTGACCCTAATATTCTGTATAACGAATTCCCATGTTTTCCAATAGCACCCTGTGTATTTCTTTATCATAATACTTAATATATTGATTTGTAATATTGATTAATTTGGCTTTTTAAGCAACCTGATCCTCCTACTCACTATAATTCAGAGAAAGTGAAGGAGATAGACATATTTATGCCAGGGAGAGCAAAAGCTTCATTGTAAATTAAGAAATTGTCATCGGTTCAGTTCAGTCACTCAGTTGTGTCCGACTCTGTGACCCCATGGACTGCAGCACACCAGGCTTCCCTGTCCATCACCAACTCCCAGAGCCTACTCAAACTCATGTCCATCGAGTTGGTGATGCCATCCAACTATCTTGTCCTCTCTTGCCCCCTTCTCCTCCTGCCTTCAATCTTTCCCAGTATTAGGTTCTTTTCCAATGAGTCAGTTCTTTGCATCAGGTGCCCAAAGAAACTGTCCTACTTGTTTGTAAACAGACAAGTGGTAGAGGGTTTAGTGGTATAGCGGCATTTCTCTTGAGTGTGCTCTCATCTGGCCAGGCTGAGGAAAGTCAATGTCTGAATCTAGGGAGCAGAAGATCAGATCCTGCTCTTGTGAGGTCCTGTGCAAGACACAGTTTCGCTGCTGTAAGTCTCATTTCCTTCTTGTTGCAACGGAGTATAGGTGAGTTCCTTCTCTTAGGAGCTTGAAAGAGCTGGAATAAATAGTAAGACTTCATCTAGATACCAAGCATTCAGAAACAAGAAGGAGTTATTTGGAGGTCAAAGAATATAGCCACCCGGGCTTCCTTGGGGGCCCAGATGGTGAAGAATTTGCCTGCAATGCAGGAGGCATAGGAAAGGAGGGTTTGGTCCCTGGATTGAGAAGACCCCCTGGAGAAGGGAATGGCAACCTACTGAAGCATTCTTGTCGGGAGAATGCCACAAACAGAGGAAGCTGTGGGCTACAGTCCATGGGGTTGCAAAGAGTTAGACATGACTGAGCTGCTAACACACACACACGCACACACACACACGCGCGCACACACACACACACACACACACACACGGAATAAGGCCATAGGAGAGGAAGAGTTTGGTATAAAATGATAGCACAGGCTTCAAAGGAAGAGAGGTCTGTCAAATATAAAGTTGTTACAGCCTCTGGCACTCAGGTGCAGAAGAGTGATTATCCTTCCTCTGAGGAAGTTTTAAAAGATCCAATACTCTAATAGGTTGAGGAGTATTGGGGGAAAGTTTGAAAATATGAGAAGCAAAGTTTAAGGCAAAATTGTGTATAAGAAAGAACACACACTTTGAGGGATTGGATCCCAACTCTCCTATTCATTAGCTATGCGACCTTAAACAAGTTACAAAACTTTTCAGAGACTCAGGTCCCTCATCTGTAAAATGCAAGGCATAATATCTACATTAAAGTGTAAACAACGGTTTGAAATGTTATAATTACAATGATACCTGGCACCTCAGTGATCATTTATTATTGTTGTTATTAATATAATGGATATTTAAAAAGGCATACTACAAAGGGGGAAGAACTGAACTAAATAGAAAAAAAGGCAAAGAAAATAAGTGAAGGCAAGTTTGTAAACTGGGCAGTGAAGATGAATCTTGAGTTAAACAGAAAGGAGAGGCAGATACAGGATTGAACAGTTGGGAGTGTCCTCTTAGCTCTGAAAATTTAGGCCAACCTTGATATTTTACAGAAGGAACTGAAGTTGAGAAAAGTTTAGTGACTTGGTGAACAGCTAACATTTTATTGGAGAAAGCCAAAACCAGAGTCAGGTCTGCATCTGGGCTCACTTGTTTCCACTATAGTACATATTAAATGATTTTAGGAAACACTTTACTCTTACCCTCACCCTAGTACTAATGCTGACTCTAATTGCTTTATTTTTTCTTAACTCTGTGACATCTCCTATGGTTTTTCCAACTAGTTGGGATTTATTACATACAATGATTGAATGTGAATCCATTCCACTCCCCCCAGTAATCACAGCTCTAGTATTTTAATGTTCCAGTAATGATTTGAGAGTCATCCATTTTGTCCAAATATCAAATTTAATTCCTCTATTTAAATCATTTAGCTAAAAATATTTTATATATAATTTGATCTATACGGCACAATTTGTTGTTGTTGTTTAATTGCTGAATTGTGTCTGATTCTTTGTGACTCCATGGAGTGGACTGCCAGGCGCCTCTGTCCACGGGGTTTCCCAGGCACAAGAGTACTGAAGTGGGTTGCTGTTTTCCCCCACAGAGAGTCTTCCCAGCACAGGGACTGAGCCCACACCAGCCGCACTGGCAGGCAGATTCTTCGCTGCTGGACCCCTAGGGAAGCCCCATGTAACACAATGCTGTTGTCAGTGTGGACACACCTTTCCACCCTTCAACAGCTATCTTTACACTAAATTAAAAAAATCAAACTACTGAATGTTTTTTAAGTATAAATGAATCTCTATCAGTTTACTTATCCATCTATTTATTTATCGAATATAAAAATAAACTTTAAAAAATCCAGGTGCTCACCACTTTGCTAAGCTGAAGAACATTGCCAATACCCTTGTAACTCACTCTGCACTTTTTTGACACACATTATTTGAACATTTGCAAATACAAAATCAGTCCTTAAAGTATGAATATTTATTATTGTCACTGTAAAAATCACCTTTAAAAAATAAAGTTTGTTTGAGGAGTGAGGGAGAATTTTATACAATCCTTTAGAAAACTATGCAGCTAGTGTAGAAAAATAAAATTATGAAATCTCCCTGTTAGACATACCACCACACACACAAAAGCACATTTAGCTTTACCTTAAGTAGTGCCTCCATGATATAAAATGCAAGAAAAGAGTAGTTAGCATATGCTAATTCTGTTTCATAGATATCGTTCAGCACAGATATACAAGAAATTATAAGAGGAAACATATTCATTAATATGACAAGGTATCCGATATACTCAAATTCATCAGTAAATACTATTTTATGGCATGCACGAAGAAAGCAATGTCTGCAAAAAAAAAAGTTTAAAAAAAGATATAGTTTTATCTGATAAAATAATTACACTGAATTAATTTCATTATATGCTCAGTCCTGATCTAATCATCAATAGCCACAAAGCCCAGCTTAATTCTGAGAAGTAGCCGTCACTACCAAACACTTGCTGGCATTCTACTTCAGATACTGGTCCTTTAATTTCCTCCTCTGTAAACATCCTTAGGCTAGTTTCCCCTCTTCCTTTCTTTCTTTCCTCACCGCTCATTCATTTTTACTTATACTTTTAGTAGAAATACTTCAGATCATAAAACAGAGATAATTCAAACTGGAGATATTAATAAAATAAAAATCTCTCCCACCTTTTAATTATTCTACTTCTCAGAGATGGCTACTATTACCAGTTTTAATATTGTTTCAATATTTTTGTTTATATAATCATTATCTATGAATACAAAAAGAACTATATCATGTATATAGTTCTATAACCTGCTTATTTTTCTCTTAACAATGGAGCATGAGCATTTTTCCTTGTTAAGGCATACAATCTGGCACAAATCCTAATATGTGTGGGAGTGAAACAGGATAGGTACACATTTTACAAAAACTTTAACATATGTGCTTTGAAAAATTATTTTTATACTGAGTATGCTGGAGAGTAGAATTGTGAGTGAAAGGATTTACTTTATGCAGTTTTAATTTTAATTTTAAATTATTCAAGTAGTATAATAATGCATTATTATTGCTAAAACTCAAACAAAATGATTAATCAATTATTGACTAAAGAGCAGGTGAGTGCTGATTACTTTGTTATTCTTAGATTTAGACCCATGTTATGCAGGACCTGAAATTTTTACAATCTTTATGACTTGCATCCCTATTTAATAAAAATGAGATAAATCATAAATGCTTATATGATCCTGTCATCACATTGCAAAAATCCTCCAAGGTCTCAGGCAGTGCCAGAGAGATGGAGACCCATAGAATGCAAGCCTCGTTAACTTCAAGGTAATGCTTCCCTCCCAGCTGTCTCTTCAGACTGTTTTTCTTTACTTTTTAAAAAAATTCAGTCATATTGAGGTATAACTGACATGTAAAATTGTAGATATTGAAACTACCTATCCTAGAGTCTTGATATACATATGCTTTGTGAAAGGATTCCTCCCATCTAGTTAATTAATATACCTGTCACCTCACATGATGTGTGACTATTCTGAGGTATGACTAAATTCTTTTCTCAGTTGTGGTCACCATGCACTACATTACATCTTCAGATCTTGTTCGCCTTATAGCTGAAAGTTCGTAACCTTTTACTAATCTGTTTCCCTAAACTCTCAACTCTGATAACCTCTTTTTCTACTCTCTATTAGTTGACTTTAAAAAATCTATTATTTCCTTTCATTTTGCTTATTTTTGGAGTCAACATATAAGTGATACCATGCAGTATTTGTCTTTTTTGGTCTGACTTATATTTAGCATAGAACTGTCACGATCCAACCATATTGTCACAAATGACAAAAATTCCTTCTTTCTCCACTGTATTTTCTTTATCCATTCATCTGTTGATGGATACTTAGTTTATTTTTATATCTTAACTATTGTGAATAATGTTACTATAAAATATGATTGCAGATTTTTTTCTGATGTTTTTATTTCTTTTGGATATATACCCAGAAATGAGACTGCTAGATCATACGGTAGTTTCATTTTTAATTATTTGAGGAACCTCCATACTGTTTTCTACAGTGGCTGTATAAGTTTACATTCCCACCAGCAGTGTATTATAGTTCCCTCTTTTTCATGTCCTTGCCAATACTTACTACTTGGTTTGTTTTCTTTCTTTCTTTTTTTTTTTGATGATAGGCATTCTAACAAGTATGAGATAATATTTCATTGTGATTTCGATTTGTACTTCCCTGGTGATTAGTGACATTAAGCACCTTTTCATGTTTGTATTGGCCTTTTGTATGTCCTCTATGGTAAAATGTGTATTCAGTTCCTCTGCCCATTTTTAATTGGATTGCTTGTTTTTTGCTATTCAATATATGAATTCCTTATATATTTTGGATACTAACCCCTTATCAGGTATGTTGTTGTTCAGTAACTAAGTCATATCAGATTCTTTGAGACCTCATGGACTGCAGCAAGCCAGACCTCTCTGCCCCTTACCATCTCCCAGAGTTCACCCAAGTTCATGTCCATTGAATCAGTGATGCCATTCAACCATCTCATCCTCTACCACCCTCTTCTCCTTTTGCCTTCAATCTTTCCCAGCATCAGGGTCTTTTCCAGTGCGTTGGCTCTTTGTATCAGGTGGCCAAAGTATTGGAGCTTCAGCTTCAGCATCAGTCCTTCCAGTTAATATTCAGGGTTGACTTCCCTTAAGATTGACTAGTTTGTTCTCTTTGCTCTCTAAGGGACTCTCGAGTCTTCTCCAGCACCACAATTTGAATGCATCAATTCTTTGGCATTCAGTCTTCTTGATGGTTCAACTCTCACATCTGTACGTGATTACTGGAAAAACCATAGCTTTGACAATACAGACCTTTGTCAGCAAAGAGATGTCTTTGCTTTTTTGTTGTTTATTTCTTTTGGGTGCTCTGGGTCTTCGTTGCTGCATGCAGGCTTGCTCTAATTGTGGTGAGTGGCGACTACTCTTTGTCGAGGTGCTTGGGCTTCTTATTGCAGTGGCTTCTCTTGTTGCAGAACATGGGCTCTAGGGCTCGCAGGCCCAGTAATTGTGGCTCATAGGCTTCGCTGCCCTGCAGCATGTGGAGTCTCCCCACACCAGGGACTGAACCCGTGGCCCCTGCGTTGGCAGGTGGAATTCTTAACCACTGTCACCAGGGAAGTCCTGTCTTTGCTTTTTAATACGCTGTCTGGTTGTCCTAACGTTCTTTCCAAGAATCAGGATTCTTCTTCCAAACAAGAACTATCTCAGGAATATAATTGCACCAGCTCCAAATGTCCTCGGCAGAATGTTGAAAACTGAATTATGGCTAAGAACTCTGTGCCAATAAATTTCTTCCCAATCTGGCCTTATGCTGCAGCCCTCTGGCCCAGTATCCTCAAGATCCATTCCCTTATATGTTCTATTAGTATTTGTTGATGTCAGTCAAGTCCTGTAATTCTTTCCACTGATAAGTTGTACTCTTCCTGAAGCAGCCACTATATTTTTCCCTCCATCTATGTTGAGACTTGACCTGGGTAATTACCATGGAAGCAATGAGAGGTGGTAGAAACTAAGGAAAAGCTTTATCTCATGATGTCTTTGCAGCACTTAAAGGGGAGAGAAGGTGATTGTCCTCCAGCAGAAGAGAGGAGGCTACTTCTGTCAAGCCAAGGTATTCACAAGAATGCGAAAGTTCCGGATTCTCAGGTTTGCACCCCCAGGTGTCACCACTCCAGGCCTCACAGTCCTGACCTTTCCGTCAGAGGCCTGGCCCTGACACAGAGGCCCTGCGTTTGTCGGCATTGAACAGCTCTACCTGAATCCCTCCAGGTAGATGTATCAGGTGGCTCAGTGGTGAAGACTCTGCCTGCCAATGCAGGAGGTGTAGGTTCCATCCCTGGGTCAGAAAGATCCCTTAGAGCAGGAACTGGCAACCCACTGCAGTATTCTTGCCTTGGAAATTCAATGGAGGGAGGAGCCTGGTGAGCTACATGGGATCACTAACAGTCGGACACAACTGAGTAACTAAGCACACAAGCATGTTATCTTTTAACTCTGAAAACTTAAGCTGAATTTTTAATTTTAATAACTATATATTTTTCAATTTTTTTTCTATTCATTTTCTTTTGGTAATTGACCTTGTTCATGTCTGTGATTCCATCACTTGCTAATTTCAACATTTCAGTAATGCTTATAGTCCATACTGGATAATTTTAATAACTGAAGCCTTAGGGATATAAATCTGCTGCTGTTATTTCTGCTGATTCACTTTCGTGATCACTTCTTTTCTAGTGTGCTTGTTCAGCTTTGATAGTGACTTCATCCATTGGCTAAAGAAGTCAATTTTTAATCGAACACTATTTAGCGCTTACCAGTAAATGCTAATATTTGAGTGCTTAGCTATCATTATTCTCTGGACTAAGTGCTTCTACACACACAATTTATGTAATCTTTACAACAATCCCGTAAGGTACGCAAAGGAGAACGCAACTAGCATACACTAGTACCTACTTTGTGACGGTTACTTTGTCAAATGTAACCTGTATCAGTTAGCTTTCAGAATATGACAGATATTGCTTTACCCATTTTTCAAGTGAAGAAACTGGGGCCCACAAAGCTCCTTCAGCAAATAAATGATTCAGTGAAGACTAGGATCCTAAATTAAGCCACCTGACTCCAGAATCTGCACTACCTACTGTGAGATGAATAATACTTAAGAGACAGCCTAAAAGGTAGATTGACTATCAATCTTAGTTTTTCAAATCTCCATTTCTTTGTCACATCAACAGAAATAATTACTGTTATAGCTTAAGTCACTATTGAAGGTTTTAAAAGAACAATTGTGTATGTATTGATACTTCTATTGAAAAGAGGAAAACCTCTCTTGAATCTAAGTAAAGAAAAGACATCGCAATTGGAAAGGAAGAAGTAAAATTATTCTTCGATGACAGGATCTTAAATACAGAAAATGCTAGAGAATTCACAAAAAACAACTAAAACTATTAAATGAATTCAGCAAAGCTTTATGATACAAGATCAATATACAGAAAATGATTTGTATTTCTATACATGAGAAATGGACTGTACAAAAATGAAATTAGAAACAAAATTTTATTTAAATAGCATAAAAATACATAAGATTAAATTTTACTAAAGACATGTACACTGAAAACTAAAGATGTTTCTAACAGGAATTAAGATCTAAATAAATTAAAAGCCACTCTATTTCATAAATCAGAAAGTTAAATATTTTAAGACGACAATTTACAAGTTAGGTGCAATCCTTATGAAAATCCAAATGAATTTTTTATGTGCATAAAAAGACAAGCTAATCCTAACATTCAAATGGAATTGCAAGGAATCCTGAATAGCTATACCAATCTTGAAAAGGAAAAGTAAGGTAGATGGACTCACATTTCTTGTTTTCACAATTATCTAGCAGCTGTGGAAAACAATTTGGTGTTTCCTCAATAAATTAATTAAATAAGTTTTATTTTCATATGATCCACCAATTTTACTCCTAGGTGCATACCCAAAAGATGGAAAGTAGGAATTCAAACAAATATCTCTACATAGGAGCATAGGAGCACTGTTTACAATAGTCAAAGGGTGAAATAACTCAGCTATCCACCAGTCAGTGAATGGATAAAGAAAACACAGCACGTCCATACAATGGACTATTATTATTCAGCCATAAGAAGAAATAAAGTATTGCTATTGCCATGAAGTAGATGAACCTTATGCTACGATACGGAAGAAACCTCATGCTGAGTGAAAGAATGCAGAAAGCAAAGGTGTTACGCGGTGTAAGTGTATCTGTAGGAGACAGTTGAGCAGGTAAATTCGCAGAGACAGAAAGCAGACTGGTGCTCTCCAGCAGCTGGGGAGAAGAGCGAGTGGGGAGTGTGCTTAGCGGGCGCTGGGTTCACTTTGGGGCAACTGAAACGCTATGAAGTTTGATAGAGGAAACGGTTGTCCAATTTTGCAGACGTCCTAAACAACACTGAATGGTACACTTCAAAATGGTTAATGTTTAATCTTGTGTGAAATTTACATCTATGATAAAAGTTATTACACTCTATCTTTACCCTTTAGGTAACTTTTTTTTTTTTTGTGTATATATATATATATATATATATATATATATATATATAAACAACTTAGCTGTAAACTACCTCAAAATATTTTACAGAGTATCCAGCATATACATTTTAAAAAATAAATAAAAAGGAAATGTCAAATGAATATAATAGCATGTCTTGTAAGGTTTAAAAGCACTGACCTTGATGGGATCCCTTTTTCCTTTTTCGTATTATACACCCAATTGAGCAATACTTTTCTAGTAAAGACAAGAATTTTTTTGCTTTCAGAATAATTCTTTATTGTCTCAGCATTCATATACCTTAAAAAAGGAAGAAGAAACCTTTAAGCATGCTTTAAAATTTGTGAGATAAGTTTAATGCAGAATTATCAGAAGGCAGGAAAACTATTTTGTTGTGTGATGACAGGAAGTGAGACACTTTCATAGGCATAGGTCCATGTCACAAAGATGTCAATAAAGGTGGATTATTTGTGAAATTAGGAGCTGGAGCTTTAATTAATTAATTAGAGAGTATAAAAATTCACTTATTAATTAGAGTATAAAAATGATTCAATATTAATCATAGAGTATAAAAAATGGTTCAATAAAAATTGGTTTATTAATCAGAGTATTAAAAAAATGATTCAAAATAGAGAAGTCATGTTTGAGGAAGAGAAGGCACACCATGATTAAAATACTTGGGATTCAAATATATGTGGATTTTCATGTTGGATCCTCCATTATCTGGGTGGCAATGAACTAAATACCTCACTAACTTGTTTGCTTTGCAGAATGGAGGTAAGACTACTAATGCCAGCCTGGGAAAATTAAATGAGAACATATACAGGAGGCATCCGGCTCACCTCACATATCCCCCCATCTCTTTTCTTTCACCTTCTGGGCAAGTAATCAGGGAATTTATGGGGGAAATACAAGTGGTGAAGTAAAAGAGTAAAAATGGTTACCTGGAAGACTTGGTGCTCATAAACCCACCAAAGACATTTGTCCCCAAGTTGCCTGTAGGTTTTTTTCTGGTTTTTTTTTTTTTTTGAGACAGCTCAGATCTGTGTGCTATATTTAGGTCTTGCTCTTCACCAGAAGGAGGTTGGGGCTCCATCTCAGGGTGTGAGGCCCTACCTTAAAATGCAGCTTAATAGAAGGGCATTGGTGACTTAAGTCCAAAGGAAGGTCTTGTTCTTCCTATAGATTATAATGTTCTCACCCTAAAAGGTGGGCAATTTCTCTGTTACAGAGATACTGACATAATTAAAAAGAAGGAATGTAATCTGTTCTCTGATTAATATAGCAGTGTGGTAATGGCATGGAAAATCATGAATGTGTATATGACTTGATTCAGTTCTGATTGTTAAAATATTTGATTGAGTACCTATTATGCTTGATAAGTGAATGGGGTAAACCAGTACAAAAATTACTGGACTCTGGTTTTAACACTTTTGAAGACTAGTGGAGTAAAATATGCCAACAACAGTTGCAGTTAAGTGTAGTAAGTGTTCTGCACAGGTAATAAATAAAAGGGCACTCTGGATCCACACAGGGGCTGTTTAATATAGTCCTGGGAAACCAGGAAACCTCAATTAATGTCTAAGTTAAGATTTGATCATTTCATAAGTTCCTGTGAATCCTAAAATTCTGTGATATCAGTGCATGTGATATTTTAACAGGCCAAATTATAGTGTATATCAGGCTCTTGGGTTCCTATTTGATATGCTCTAAATATGTTCACTGTTTAGACTTGATTTAGGAAAACAGTATGATCTCTTTAACTGGATAGTGAGGTAGCCTGGCTTTGAATCTGGGCTCTGTAATTAATTAGTCAAATAACCTTGGGTAAATTATTTAATCTCTCTGTGCCTCACTTTCCCCATTTGCAAAATAAAGGTAACAATAGAGGATTTTTACCACCCGAATGGGTAATACATATAATATGTTTAAAACTGTATCTGACATAAGACCATAAACATAATCCCTAGTCAAAGTACTGCTTCTTAGATAATTACACAGGTGCTTAGCACAGGTCCTGGTACCTCTGTTTAAACTCCCTACTCTTTCTATCTTTAGACTTGTTTCCTTGCCACAGGATATCCTCAACACATGGGGTTACAGATAGGAATGATCAGCAAATAGTAGAATCAGCTCCAGGGCAGCCCAGCAAAGAAGCAAATACTGAACTTAAGAGTAGTTAAGGGAGACTTCTGCTCTGATTTGAAAGCCATTTCACTGATCTTGATATTCCCAGGGCTGGCATATAGTTTTGCACACATTTAGGATTCAATATTTATCTCTTGCATGTCCAAATGAAAATGTAATACATTTCAAAATTTGCCTTTGTTGACTACTATGAATCGTTTCAACCCTTAACTCCCTTTCCACACAATTTACCTCCTTTCGGTATCCATTTCTTCCAGGTCCTCAGAGGCAGATGTTGATTCTGCCTTTGTGGATTTTAAGAGGAAAAATCAAGGGAGTGGACTTAACCGCCCTATGCAAGTACTGTTTTATATGTGTTCTGTGTATGTCAACCTCTCCTGGACTTTCACATGTCACTTTCCATTCATTTAAAAATTCCTGCTGTACATAGTGCATCTGTCTTTCAAGTATGAATCTGATTGTTTTAAACTGATCTGCCCAGCCCTCTCCTTCTACTTCACTAACGTCCATCAGGTCCCCTGGCTTCTGAAGGGGCCCAGAGCAAGAAGGTAGGTGGGGGCTCTTGTATCATATATGGAAATATAATGTGATAATGATTTGTATGGCTAGGCTTGAAATTAAAATTCTTAGGCTCTTTGACAATCTGTACTCACACTGCAATGGGAACACACCCCAATGTCTGGTTGCTTCTCTTCCCACACAGGGCTTTATCTCTCACTACTAAACCTCAAGCCCAAAGAATGCTGAAGAACTGATGCTTTCAACTGTGGTGCTAAAGATGCCTGAAAGTCCTTTGGACAGCAAGGAAATCAAACCAGTCAATCTTAAGGGAAATCAACCCTCAATACTCATTGGAAGGACTAACACTGAAGCTGAAGGTCCAGTAGTTTGGTCACCCGATGCGAACAGCCAACTCATTGGAAAAGTCCCTAATGCTGGGAAAGATTGAGGGCAGAAGAAGAGGGCATCAGAAGATGAGATGGCTGAATGTCATCACTGATGCAATGGACGTGAACTTGGGCAAACTTCAGGAGATGGCGAAGGACAGGGAGGCTTGGTGTGCTGCAGTCCATGGGGTTGCAAAGAGTTGGACAGTACTGGGTGACTGAACAACGACAAACCTCGAGCCAGTGTATGTGAGCAGACACCAGCCTGCCTCATCTCGTAGGTTTTGAGGAGTGGACACCAAAGACCTGGTTTGCTTGTAAGATGATGACCTAAGGAAAAGGTCCAAGCAATCCTAGGACCAATTGAGCAGGAGATTTTGGCGTTCATGGTACCAGAAGAGAGATCTAGAACAAGAAGGTATGTCGGGGATTTGGGGTGGTCATTGCTGCAACCGCACTGCAGTTTAACTCTTCCCTCTGCCCAACCATGCATCCTTCATCCTTCCACAGGGGATGATCTGAGGGTACTCGCTAATACGCTGACTCAGGAACTCAATGCTGGCTGTGGAAGCTCACTTCTAAAGAAATCAATATAAATATGTCAAGAGAGGGTGTGCATTGGGAAGATGTGCCTGGAGGGTTGAAGGAAGTTTTTGACCTCAGCTAGGCGTCTAAAAGAAGAGTGGTTTACCACAGCTTAGCTTTAGGATGGGGGCAAAAGGAGAAAGAGAAGGTATGAGTCAGAAGGAGCAGCTTGCTCAAATGCACAGAGCAGGTCTGGGAAACTGGAAGCAGGTGACTTGGCCTACTGGTGGGATGGAGAACAGGCAGTGGCTTGAAAGCCGGATGACCTCAGGTTACCAGACAAAAGCAGAAACTCACTTGCACGATTTCCTAAGTGCAGTGGCTTAGGATAAAGCTTTCTCTTGAAATCGTACTTACTCTACCGTCTTCTCTCCAAAGCTTCCTGCTGCCCCTACCAGCACCTGGACTGCGCTCTGGGACAGAGTCTCACTCCCGTATTGTCTCTGGTAGCTCGCCTAAAAGGAATGTTGAATCAAATCGTTATATAATGTGGATCAGAGTGACAACTTATGGAAAAATAACCCATGAGAGAGAAGTCAAAACCCAAAAATAACTTAGTATCTTTATTAAAAAAATTTTTTTTCAGTGGAGTCTAGACCATGAGGTCAGTGCAGAAGGTACATCTGAGTTTTGTGTGGAGTGAAACAGATTATGCAAGAAACTAGGTTCCTGATAGATGTTAATTACGTTTTCAAAATAAGTGGAGTTCTGTGGCCAAATGAGCATGGGAACTGCTGCAAATTACCCCCACCTTAGAAGTTCATAATACATATTTGAATTTTAAAGCCTCTGAGAAATTTTACAGTAAGGGATCCTGGTTTATGCCTTTCTTTAACTTCACTTAGCCAAATATTTTGACAATAGAACTCTCTTGTCTCCAATCTATTCCCAGCATGAGATGACCTGCTGCTATGGTGCAAAACACATTCATTCATTCATTCAGGCCATATACTGAGAGCCCACTCAGCTTCTGTGTGCTGAACACTGTTGAGAATATACTTCCTGATTTGGAATGTATGATATGACTAAAGATTCCCAGTTCCATAGAAGACATTCTGTTTGCACAATTATTTATGAGCATTGAAACATATTTTGCTCTTGGAGAATACTAGAAAGAGATAGAACTAAATGTTAGTATGAAAGATCAAAAAACTAGTTGTCCATAATAACAAGAAAGCTAAGCAACACAAGTAATTGACCAGTTCAATACTAGAAAAATGTTTATTCTTAAATGATCATTCGTACCAATTTGTAAGAATTTAGAGAATGGCTGATTCCTAAAAATAACTGCCATCTACGAGCTCCCTAATATACTATTGGATTAACATAATAATTTTTGTTTTACACAAAATTATTTAATTCTTGCAACAGCTTTATGATGAAGGTATTCAAATCTGTATTTGATAGATGGGAAAGATAACAATCCTCAAGGAGTTAAGGAGTTTTCTCGAGACCACATTAGAAGCTCAGTTCTTTCTGAACTGAAAGCCTGTCCTGCCTTCCTCCAACCACATCGTGCTCTCTGCTTTGCCATTGTCTTGCCACGCTATGCTCCCCCTTCAAACGCACAGCAGTGGAGGAGATATTGCTCCCATTACCCTGAACTGGCTGAGATTTAAACAAAGAACTCCCAAAGGTCTGAAAACTATAATAGCCAATTAATACTGTTGGGAGCAGTGAATATTAGAATGGGGATTGCAGAAATCAAATCAAACCAAGATACACATGAAAATACATCTAGTACAAAGAAGGACTAAAAATGTACAGGTGAGATGAAGATCTGGAGAATAGAACAGAGCGATTCAATGCACTTTGAAAACAGGACTTCTGGATTAAGACCTAACAACACAAAATCAATGAGGATATAATAGTAGAAATAGGAAAAAATTAAAGGGAATAAATAAAAAAGATACAGAAAGCATGTATTATAGAAAATATAGGATATCACAGGAGGAGGAATTTAAGAGGTCATTTGGATAGCATGTTTCTCCTTCTACAGATGGGGAAAATAAAGAAAAAAGAACAAGTTCTGAGCCACATATTGTATTAATAATGAAAGCAAGACACAAAATAGAGTCTCCCACATTGATTTTAAGGGTTCCTGAATACTATATTTTCCTCAAAATAAAACACCTTCTGCTTAAGCTAATTTGAGTGGATTTTTTTACCTTTTCTTTTTGCAGAGAAACAGATTCCTAAGACAATGCTGAACTTCCCTTTACCTTTGTAAACCATCTATTAAACTGCGCAGGTGAGTGTAACCAAGATGTATTAAACAAGGGAGAAAGTTTTCAGTATAATTTTAGCTAATAACTTAATTTTTTAGTATAGTACTGGCACAAAAAAACAGACAAGTAAATCAATGAAACAGGTAGAGAGCCCAGAAATAAACCCATGCACCTATGGTCAATTAATCTATGACAAAGGAAGCAAGACTGGGGAAAAGACAGTGTCTCTAAATAAGAGGTGCTAGGGAAGCTGGACAGCTCTATGTTGAAGGATGAGATTAGAACATTTTCTCACACCCTAGATAAAATACAAAAACAAATTCAAAATTAAAGGCCTAAATGTAAGACTGGAAACCACAGAACTCCTAGAAGAAAACACAGGCAGAACACTCTTTGACATAAATTGTAGCAACATTTTGGGGGCTCTGTCTCCAAAGGCAAAAACAAAAATAAACAAATGGGACCTAATTTAAACTTAAAAGCTTTTGCACAGCAAAGGAAACCATTGACAAAATGAAAAAAATCTACTGAATGGAAAAAAATTAAAAAGTGATATAAACAACAGGCCAATAATTTTAAAAAATGGGTACAGCAACGAAACATGTATATTATCTGGGGTGAAACATATCACCAGCCCAGGGTGGATGCATGAGACAAGTGCTCGGGCCTGGTGCACTGGGAAGACCCAGAGGAATCGGGTGGAGAGGGAGGTGGGAGGGGGGATCGGGATGGGGAACACATGTAAATCCATGGCTGATTCATGTCAATGTATGACAAAAACCACTACAATATTGTAAAGTAATTAGGCTCCAACTAATAAAAATAAATGGAAAAAAATGGGTAATAAAATACTAACTATTTGTGTTGACAGGAGACGTCTATTGGCCAACTCCATTGCTTCAATGTTAAGGTTATCATCTATTTCCTTGTTACAGTGTAGACATTTCACTTTTTGATGTTCTTTTGTTTCTCCTTGGCCCAACTAAATAAAATACAGATCAAAACAAAAAAATAGTACATGAACATTAATGTATTGTTTAGCACAAACCTCAAGCAATTCACATACCAGTTTGGTTTAAGAACTCACAGAAAATCTGCTAGATACATTAGAATGTTCAGATGAGTTTTGCACTTACACAGTCATCTAGAAGGCAAAATAATTGCCAGTTTGTTGGGGAAAGAATTACATCATATCTTTACCTTTGTATGGCATTGGTAAAAGTTTACGAAAACTACTGCGTTTTTGCTTACACCTTAAACCACTGGTTCTGAAAGTGTGGTACCCCAGCACTGTAGCATCACCTGGGTACTGCTAGAAAGGCACATTCCCAAAGCCTGCCACAGATCTGATGAATCAGAAACTGTCCTGTATTTTATAAACACATTTCATGATTCTGCTACAGCTAAAGTATGACAACACTTGAAACTAACCACTTACTGTAGAATAAAAAGCGAAGATGGCTGTTAGGAGATGGGAATATGGATACCTCCATTTTGTAGATGAGAAAAGTTGAAGCTTAGATAAAATACAAGTTTTATAAAAGATCACAAAGCTATTTATTAAGTAACAAAACTAGGATATGAACCCAGATTTTCTGAGTCCAAGGACAACATTCTATCTGTAATACTGAAATATCTCTCATGTCTGCATCATAAAGAAGAGAATGTAGTTGTTTATTTATCTGCCCTCTGAAACAGATCAAGTACCAGAGTTTGACCTTAACTTTGAGTCTGCATTAGAATTAGCTGGGTAAATGGGTTAAAAATACATATTCCTCAGACCAACTGCATCAGAATCTCCTGGATAGAGGTTGGGAAATCAAGGCTGTGTGCTCTGTCGCTACAGTCATATCTGACTCTTTGCGACCCCATGGATTGTAGCCCTCCAGGCTCATCTGTCCATGGGATTTCCCAGGCAAGAACACTGGAGCAGGCTGCCATTCCCTTCTCCAGGGGGTCTTCCTGACCCAGGGATCGAACTGGAGTCTCCTGCATTGGCAGGTGGTCTCTTGCGTTGCAGGCAGATTCATTACTGCTGAACCAGCAGGGATTCCATATTTTGAATAAGGTTTCCAGGTGATTCAAATGCAGCCAGGTTAGCAAAAGGCCAGAGTTAGATATTGAGAACTACTATGAAAAAATCCTCAGATTTGACTTGGTACTTTTCTTAACCAGAAATCCTATCAATATTCCTGCAAACATAGGACTTGATTCTGGGCCTCCATCTAAAGCCTCAAGCACCTCTTGCAGGTTATAAAATGGAGTTTCGCAAATCCTATCTCATAGAAACCAATTACGTCTACATTCTTAGCAGCTGTCCCCTTATATTGTGTGATGCAGAAAAACACTGCAATGAAAATTGGACATGATAGGCAATGACAAACCAGAAAAAACAATGAGCAGATCATAGGACAACTTTTATTATTTCTCCAGCAGTCATGACTGCTGATGAATTATGTTCTCATATATGAATAAGAAGTCTGACCATGGAGATTCTAAAATATGTCTCAGAAGTAGGTGATATTTCACTATATCTAATCTTATGATACTAGCTTTTAATTCTGTTTTATGATAAAAAGTAACAGTAACAATAAACCAAGGCTTAACAAGTACTTCAATATATAATAGCCTAAATAAATACAGAATACATGCTGTCCATCCTCAGTCTAGCAAAAAAAAAAACCTGTTTTCTAACGCTTACTCTCTTCTTTTTATACTGTCTTTTAAAAGTAGCTCTCATACACTATTCTTTCTTTTGAATTTACAATATTCAGTTCAGTTCAGTTCAGTCACTCAGCCATGTCTGACTCTTTGCAACCCCATGGACTGCAGCACACCAGGCTTCCCTGTCCATTACCAACACCCAGAGCTTGCTCAAACTCATGTCCATTGAGTTGTTGATGCCATCCAGCCATCTCATCCTCTGTCTGCCTCTTCTCCTCCTGTCCTCAATCTTTCCCAGCATCAGGGGATTTTCAAATGAGTCAGTTCTTCACATCATGCGGCCAAAGTATCGGAGCTTCAGCTTCAGCATCGTTCCTTCTAATGAATATTCAGGACTGATTTCCTTTAGGATTGACTGGTTTGATCTCCTTACAGTCCAAGGGACTCTCAAGAGTCTTCTCCAACACCACAGTTCAAAAGCATCAAATCTTTGGGGCTAAGCTTTCTTTATAGTCCAACTCTCACATCCATACATGACTACTGGGAAAACAATAGACATTTGTGATATACTCAAAGTGTGTTTTGGGGGGGAGGGTCTTCCTTGCTAGCTCAGACAGTAAAGAATCTGCCTGCCAATGCAGGAGACCCAGGTTCGATCCTTGGATAGGGAAGATCCCACGGAGAAGGGAATGGCTACCTATCCCCATATTCTTGCCTGGAGAATCCCATGGACAGAGGAGCCTGGTAGGCTACAGTTTATGTGGTTGCAAAGAGTTGGACATGACTGAGCAATTAACACTTATTTTTCACTTTCATATACCCAAAAAGGTTGTCACTTCTACTTTGTCTCACAGTGATCACAAAATTCCCTAAGAATTGTAAATTAATATTTACAACATTCATTCTTAAGATGAACCATATCCACTTTGAAGGAATAAACAAAAGATATCTTTTGTTAATAATAACAAAATTTTGTTTTGGAATAAACAAAAGTAATATTTAAAAAATATTCCTTGCTTACTGCATATGGGTTTTGAAGTATAATTGCTTTCTCAACTATGTTCCAGTCTGCATTGGCAAGGTCTCTGTCAAGTTTGAGTGCAGAGGCTACAGACTTGGTTAGTTCTTGGAAGTGCTGGAACGTATAACACAGCGACTTATACTTCGTCGATGTGACGTCACGAAGACCTTTGATAAAAAGAGCACATTTTATAAATGTTGGACATCATTTTGGTAGTATGTACAGAATATATGCACATATACACAAATAAATTTGTAGGAGATACATATGTAGGAGGTATAGATATACCTATATGTACACAGAAATATATGCACTTATATAAATTTCCTATGTATATGTAAGATCATATATATATTTGATGTACATTTATTTATCTCCGTATATATATAGTTGACCTTTGAACAATATGGGATTCAGGGATGTCAACCCTCCATGCAGTTGAAAATCTGCATATAACTTTGCAGTTGTCCCTCCATATCTGTGGTTCTGCATCCTCAGTTTCAATAAACTGAGGTTCGTGTTGTACTGAAGTACATATGAAAAAAATTCACATCCACTTAAAAGTGGACTGACATAGTTCAAATTCATTTTGATCAAGGATCAGTGGTAATATATATATATATACCTCATAAAGGTTTGAAGGACTCTTACTATCAATCAGTGCAAGTAAACAGATGCTCTACAATAAGAATTTTAGGTTTATTTAGCTACTAAGTAGAACATCTGATGGGCTTCCCTGGTGGCTCAGTGATAAAGAATCTGCTTGCAATGCAGAAGATGTGGATTTGACCCCTGGGCTGGGGAGATCCCCTGGAGAAGGAAATGGTGACCCACTTCACTATTCTTGCCTGGGAAATCCCATGGACAGGATCTGATACTCTGCAAAATGTTAATCTGTTCTTCTTACTTTACTATGTTAAGGCCCAGAAAAGAAAAAAGTAAATGGTAAAAAGGATATGGCTACAAACATGAGAATGAAGATTCAATATTACCCATAAAGATGAAATTTAAGATTGGTTAAGAAAATGCCATATGAATGAAACAGAAAGGGTGCTAGAGCAGTTAAGAGTAAAATGGATTAAAAGCATTAGAGGAATTTATTTTTAGTTTGTTAACTGCCATTACTGAGTTGTGTGATCTTAGACAAGAGCTTTTAACTCTTTAGATTTCAATTTTTCGATTGTTAAAAAGTAGATTGAAGCAGTCATACTGCATAAAGCAGGTGCCTCCTAAAACTGGTATTTCCGCTCCTGCTCTCTTCATAGGCCCCAATCAGCTATCCAGAGTTGTCTTTTTAAGGACCTTATTCATAAAATTACACTTACTTGCTTAAAACCAACCAAGAAATCCATTTACCTCTTAGAATAAAATCTTAAAATTCAAGGTCTTTCATGATCTAGCTCTTTCCCTACCTCTCCCATCTGGACTTCCTCCACTATTGACATAGTTCTCAAAGGTTCCAGCAGCTTACCTTCTTTTCTGGAACACGCTTGGTTTCTAACCTCTTCAGGAACCTACTGCATGTTGTATTTCTACTTTCTTCACATGTGGTTTGAGCACTGTCGTGCACCAGTGACACTCTGATATTACCTTATTTGACTTGTTTAGAGTCTGTCTCTCCTCTCTCCAGTTTAGCTTCGACAATTCAGACTTGTCTGTCTTCATAATGCATCACTATCAGCTAGAATAGTGCTTGGCATATAAGAGGCTCTTAATAAAAAGTTTGTTGAATAATTAAATAGACATTGTATTATTTCACTTAAACTGGACTAATGTAAATAGGTAATCTTATTTATAAGATTATTGCTTATTGGCTTAATGAACTTATTGGCCTTAATGATTCATGTGACTTTATATTGAGATCCAATTTCCTTTTCAATTAGATACCTTTGATTTGTATTTATATAGCTTTCTTCTTCATTATTAGCAAGTCTTTAGTATATTTGGAATATTTTTCTCTTTACTCAGGAATTAGCAGGGCTTACCAAGTTTAGTAACTGCCATTGGCAAAATAAATCTATTGACAATCAAGGTAATCAAGGACACTGACACTCCATGAAATAATATCTGGAATAGAAGAACAAACCGAAGTAAGTTTTCATCATAATTTCATATAATATACTCTATATTTACCAGTGTAAATTAAGCTAAGTTGTACTATGTCAATATTTGGGAAACACAACGACTTGCTTTGACAAGTATTTATATACTTATAAAGACATTAGGAAAAAAATTTTGTTCTTAATTTTGGTTTCTGAGCTTCTTGCGTCCTGGGAATAGCCCTGTACTTTATCAATTCTCGTCCACCACTTACACTTCTATGTACATAGCCACACAGTTCTCTGTTCAACATTACCAGCACATCTGTGTTAAATAATTCTCTCCACCTAGAAGAAACAATACACGGCCTTGGTATGTTTGTTCTACCACATACTTTGCCTCTCTGGTATCCCTTCATTACCAGAAAAAAAGTGAAAGTGAAGCTGCTCAGTCCTGTCTGACTCTTTGCAACTCCATGGACCATACAATCCAAGGAATTCTTCAGGAGTTGACAACCTTTTCTTTCTCCAGGGGGGTCTTCCCAACCCAGGGATCTAACCCAGGTCTCCCACATTGCAGGTGGATTCTTTACCAGCGTTACTAGAAGGGAGGAGCAATTGATTCCTTTGGTGTCACTTTTTTTTTCCTCCTCTTATATCTCAAGTTAGTCTCCACAGACAGATGAAGAAACACTTCTCAGTCTGATATTACATATTTCCATGGATTTATGGAATTCTAACTCCAGGAATTTATTTTAAACTCTTAGCTAGTCCTCTATTCTTTTGATACAGATAGAAATTAGAGACGAAATGTGAAACACACCAGAGGCTTTCACGGCTGCACACTAGGATCACTTGAGAAATTTTAAATACTGGTGCATAGGACGCTCTCACTGAATATTCTAATTTAATTCCTCAAGGGGGCCACCCCTGCACTGCTCATTAGGAAAACCAAGGTGTAATCTACACAGAGTGAAATGTACTTGTGCATCTGATAAGTTTTGACAGTGCATACACCCATATTACCCTCAATCCTTTCAAGATGTATGATATTCTCTTATCCTCTAAATTTCCCCAGTGCTGCTCCAATCAATCCTCACCAGACAAGAGACAACTACTGTTTCTATTTCTATAGATGGGATATGCCAATTCTAAAATCTTCATTTAAACTGAATATTATATTTCTCATTGTAGTTTTAATTTGCATTTCCCTAGAGTAATGATGTTGAGCATTTTAATATGCTTAGTGGTATATGCATTTCCTTTTGAAACACTTGTTCAACTCTTTTGCCTGTTTTAAAAATTGGGTTGCTTTTTTGTTACAAAATTGTAGAAATTTTGAAAATTATATTCTGGGTAGAAGTACATTGTCATATAGATGGACAACAGACACATGAACAGAAACTCAATATTGCCAGTTATTAGAGAAATGCAAATTGAAACTACAGTGACATATCACCTCACACCAGTCAGAATATCATAGTTTAAAAGTCTATGAATAATAAATGCTGGAAGGAGTGTGGAGAAACAGGAACTCTCCTACATGGTTCGTGGGATTATATCAATAAATTGACGAGTCCACAATGGAGAACAGTATGGAGATTTCTTAAAAAGCTGAAAGCTGAGCTACCATATGATTCTGCAATCCCATTCCTGGATATCTATCTGGAGAAAACTCAAATTCAAAAATACCTGTGCCCCAGTGTTCACTGCAGCACTATTTATGACAGCCAAGACCTGGAACCAACCTAATTGCCCATTGGCAGATAAATGGATAAAAAAAATGTGGTACATATATATGGTGGAATATTACTCAGCCATAAGAATGAATAACACCATGTGCAGTAACATGGGTAGACCTAGAGATTAACATACTAAGTGAAATAAATCAAATGAAGACAAATATCATATGATATCACTTGTATGTGGAGTCTAAGAAAACTACAGAAAATGTGCATATCAGATATATGATATATGTATTATGAGTACTTCCTCTCAGTTTGTGACCACCTTCCTTATCCAGTTCAAAAGTTATCTTTTGATAAACAAACATTTTTAAAGTTGAGAACTCCAATTATTACTGTTTTTGGTTTTAAAACCATTTGTCTATTCCAAGGCTGCAAAGGTATTCTCTTGTTTTCTTTCACAAGTTTTAGAGTTTTTCATTTTATTTAAGACTATGATCCATCTCCAATCAGTTTTACATATGGTGTGAAGTAAAAAATAAAAGATTTTGCTTTTATTTATCTTATAACTGGAAGTTTGTACCTTTAGATTGCCTTTATCCACTTCTTCTATCTCCACTTATCATCTATGGAAATCACTAATATGTTCTCTCATTCTATGAGTTCAGTTTTTTTAGATTTTACAAACACTTTTTTGAATGTTAAACTAAAATTTATGGACATATTTTTGAATGAATACTTAGTCATAATGTCTTATACTTCTTATATATTTAAAATTAATTGGCTATATATTTTTAAAGAATTTTTGCATCATGTTTATTCAGTGGTTTAATCAGTTTTTTGTTTGTAATTATCGTTGTTGGTGTTTAGTATCACACTGGGCTGGCCACATAAAATAAAAAGTGTTTCATCATTCTCTATTTTATGAGAGAGTTTGTTTAGAATTGTTATCATTTATTCATTAAATGTTTGGAAGAATTCACCAGTCAAGCCATCTCGGCTTCTAGCTTATGAAAAAGTTTTAATTTATATATATCATTTCTTTAACACATAGAGGACTATTCAGAGTTTATATTTTCTTTTGTGTCAGTTTAGGTACATTGTGTTTTTTGAGGAATATAACCACTTTCACCTTAGGTGTTCAATTGTTTGGATAAAAGTTATGCATAGTTTTTATTTATTACTCCTTTAATAGCTGTATAATTTATAGTCATGGTCTTTTTCATTACTGATATCAATCATTTGTTTCCTCTTTCTTTCTCCCTCTTTTGTTTTTTTTTTAGTGTTTAACATTTTAAGATAGTTGTAGATTCACATACAGTCTTAAGAAATAGGTCCTGTGTAATATTTAGCCAGTTGTCCCCAAAGGTATCACAATCAGGATATTGACAATGACACAGTCAAGATACAGAACAGTTCCTTTACCATAAGTATTCCTCATGTTGCCTTTTATAGTCACTTTTATTTCCCTCCTGTCCTCATCTCTTTATTCCTGGCAACCACTAATTCGTTCAGCTCAGTCACATCCGACTTTTTGCAACCCGTGGACTGCAGCATGCCAGGCTTCCCTGTCCATGAGCCCCCGGAGCTTGCTCAAACTCATGTCCATCGAATTGGTGATGCCATCCAATCATCTCATCCTCTGTCGTCCCCTTCTCCTCCTTCCTTCAATCTTTCTCAGCATCAGGGTCTTTTCCAATGAGTCAGTTCTTCACATCAAGTAGCCAAAGTGTTGGCGCTTCAGCTTCAGCATCAGTCCTTCCAATGAATATTCAGGACTGATTTTCTTTTGGATTGACTGGTTTGATCTCCTTACAGTCCAGGGGACTCTCAAGAGTCTTCTCCAACACCACAGTTCAAAAGCATCGATTCTTTGGTGCTCAGCTTTCTTTATAGTCCAACTCTCACATCCATACATGACCACTGGAAAAACCATAGCTTTGACTAGATGGACCTTTGTTGGCAAAGTAATGTCTCTGCTTTTTAATATGCTGTCTAGGTAGGTCATAACTTTTCTTCCAAGGAGCAATCATCTTTTAATTTCATGGCTACAGTCACCATCTGCAGTGATTTTGGAGCCCAATAAAATAAAGTCTGTCACAGTTTCCATTGTTTCCCTATCTATATGCCATGAAGTGGTGGAACCGGATGCCATGATCTTGGTTTTTTGAATGTTAAGTTTTAAGCCAACTTTTTCACTCTCCTCTTTCACTTTCATCAAGGGGCTTTTTAGTTCCTATTCTAATCACTAATCTGTTCTCAATTTCTATATTTTTGCCTGGCAACCGCTCATCTGTTCTCAATTTCTACATTTTCATAAGAATGTTATACAATTCAGATCATGAAGTATGTATTCTGTTTTGAATAATTCTCTGGAGATTTATCAAAGTTGCTGCTTTTATTAATAGTTTGTTCCTTTTTACTGCTGAGTAGCATTCCAAGGTGCAGTTGTACAAACCTACTGAAGGACATCTGAATTGTTTCCAGATGTCTGGTTGTTATAAATACAGCTACTATAAAAATTCATATACAGGTGTGTGTAGACATAAATCTCCAGGCTAAATCCCCAGGAGAACAATTGCTGTATGGTAGTTGCATATGTAACTGCCAAATTCTTTATCATTTATTTTTGATTGGAGGGTAATTGCTTTAGAATGCTGTGTCACTTGCCAAGTTCTTTCCCGGAGTGACTGTACTATGTGATACTCCTACTAGCATCTGGGAGTGGGCAGTTTTCTCTGCACCCTTACCAACATTTGGTGTCATCACCATATTTTACTTTAGGCCTTCTAATAGATGATATCTTTCTGTTTTCTCAGTTTGCATGTCTCCAGTGGCTAATGACACTGACCACCTTTTTTATCCTTATTTGCCATCTGTATATCCCTTTCAGTGAAATGTCTCTTTCTGTATTCTGTGTATTGTATAAAAGTTTTCAATTTTGAAGATGTGTAATTTCTTCTTTTATTTTTTTCTTTTCTGGATTATGCTCTTGGTATCTTTGTGTTATGATAGGTCCCAAAGGTTTTACCCCAAGCTTAAAAAAAGTTTTCTGGTTTTACATTTTATATTTAATTCTGTGATCCACTTTGAACTAATTTTTATAGAAGAAGTGAGGCTTAGGTCAAGGTTCTTCTCTCTCTTTTTTTTGTATATGAATGTCCCATTCTTCAGCATAATTTTTAAGACATCATCTATTTAATTACTTTTGCATATTTATCAAAAAGTATTGGTGATATTTGTTTGAACCTATTTCTGAGTTCTCTAGCCTATTCCATGTTTCTCTCTCTCTCTCTGGCAATACTGCATAATCTCCATGGCTGTAATAACACCTTAAAACTAGGTATACTGATTCTTACCATTTATTTTTCTCTTTCAAAATTGTTTTTGTTATTTTAGTCCCTTTGCTTTTTATTACTGAATGATTGTACATGGTATTGTGTCTTTAATTTTTGATTCCTTGAATCAATTGCTAGTATATAGAAATACACTTGATTTTATACTTATATCTTGAGATCATACTAAATTCACTTATTAGTTCTAGGAAGTTTTTTTCCCCCTTCTTTTTGAAGACCCTTGGAATTTTCTATATAGATAATCATACTATCTGCAGTAGGAATAGTTTTATCTCTTCCTTTTGAATATTCTTGTTTTTTTTTTCTCCTTTTTTGTCTTATGGAGCAAGCTAGAATTTCCATCATGATGCTTAGTAAAAAGGATGAGGGTAGGGACTCTTGATTGTTCATAAATTAATTGAGACATTCTTGGATTGTTCCCAATTATAAGGAGAAAGCATCTTTCACTATTAATTATAATGCTACTTGCAGATTTTTTTGTAGATGTTCTTTATCTACTTTAGGAAGTTCCCTCTTATTTCTACTTTTTGAGAGGTTTATCATAAATGGATATTGATTTTTATTTGCTAAGTGATTTTTCTTCATCAGTTGATATGGTTCTATAAATGTCAATTAGATCCTGTTGGTTGATGGTGTTGTTTAGTTCTTCCGTATCCTTGCTAATTTTTTTAGTAGTTCTAGCATCCCTCATGGCTCAGTGGTAAAGACTTTGCCTGCCAATGTAGGAGATGTGGAATTAGGTCGGGAAGATCCGTGAGAGAGGGAAATGGCAACCCATTCCAGTATTCTTGCCTGGGAAATCCCATGGACAGAGGAATTTGGTGGGCTACAGCCCATGGGGTTACAAAAGAATCAGACACCACTTAGTGACTAAACAAACAAAAAAAAAATACTTCATTAAACAAATTATGGAAAGGAGTGTTAAAGTCTCCAACTGTAGTTTGTCTATTTCTCCTCTTAGATCTCCATTTTTGCTTCATATATTCTATACACTTGTTTGGAACATATTCAATTCAGTCACTGAACTTGTGAGTAGTAGAGACAGGATTAAGTTAAAAATTTAAGCTTTCATTGCAGTGCCTCTTTTTGAGTATTAATAAATCAGCTGTAGGAGTCACCACATTGAATTAAAGAAGGACTGCTAATTTCTTCTCAACTAGCTACCACTACTGAAACATCCCTCAGAATGATTTGATTGACCAAAGTTTTATTTCAAAAGTTGTCTACATGGCATTATCGTCATTGTTATCAGAACTCAGATTTACTGTACATTTACTAGATACTAAACAATGTATTAAGCTTCTTATGTATATTTTTAATTTCTCATAATAACTCTTTGAGACAGTAGAAAGAGTAAGAAAGCCATATAGACTTGGCTCTTACCAGTTTGTGAATGCTGATTATTACATTTTCAGGAAGTTTATAGGCTGACTTATGTTTTGTTGGTGCCAATGATTATGGAACAGAAATTTAGCAAACACTCCCCCTTTCCAACACTCCCCTGTTAAATACCTACTAGCAAATCACTGGTATTATTGCGGACTGCTTTGGAATGAGGGAACAGACACACAGAGGCAGGGGGTAGGGGTCGGAATTGAATAACTTGTGGATGACCATACAATAAATAGCAATTAAAATTTTCAGAACCCAGATCCAAGTGCAATGTTCATTACACTGGTCAGGACGTACGATGATGACACTGATTTTTATTATCCAGACAAAGTGGAAATTAGTTAAAGGGAAAGAGGGGTGTCAATGTATTGGTTGCACAGTCGTGTCTGACTCTTTGCGGTCCCATGAATTGGGGCCCGCCAGGCTCCTCTGTCCATGGGGTTTTCCAGGCAAGAATACTGGAGTGGGTTGCCATGCCCTTCTCAGGGGGTGGACTCTTTACCATCTGGGCCACTGGGGAAGACTGGAAAGAAAGAGGAGGTTGGTAATATTAGACACTTTGGTTTCTAAAGCGGTCTTTGAATATTTAGTTTTTTTTAATCTTGATTATTATTTACTTAGATGCATAATAATAACCTTGACACGGTTCCCTTTACTCTTAGAATTTATGTTAAGAAAAAACTCACAATGGAAGTGTTCGATGTGTTGTGATGTCTACATAGAATATTTCTTAAAGAGCTCCTTGAAATTATCTTATTTTGAGATGTGGTAGAGGGATAGTCATACACTTTATGTTCTACTGGGCAGAGTTTGGGGGTTCTATCTTAAGAGATAACTTCCCTTCATAATTAAAATGTTAAGTAGGCATTAGGAGTAAATTTAAAAAGAATTTTTTAATTTAATGTACTCATTTGTTGAGTACATACTCTGTATCAGGTACTATTTTAAATGATTTATAAGTTTTAATTCCCTTAACTTTCACAATAACCCTATTTTTTAGGACTGTGATGAAGGAGTTTAAAGATATCTAAGCTATAATGAGGAACAGGAAAGTTGCCAGCTGTTTTTCCCCTCCCAGTTTCCCCATCATAGCTAAATCAATCCCACAGTCCAAGTGGGGTTGAGCGATCTACTGCAAAAGCATATTTTAGTACACAGAAACAGTTTTCATAAAACATTCAAATAGAAAAATCACATCTTTCTTTACTTGAGATTTCTCCCTCTCAGATCCAAGAGAGTTTTCAAAGTAGGCAAGCAGAAGAGCCAAGTTTATATTAGGAGTCCCTTTCATTTCACTCCAGGCCATTATGAATGCCCAGCGCCAGCTGAAACCATGACCAAGTCGAGACAAAAGAGGACTCAGTAACACAAAGACCAGAAGTCTAAAAGGCAAAACAGATTTTAAAAAGTTATTTTTGTCATAGAAATTTCTTTCCATCTCATGCTATACTACTCCAATCTATTCCCTGTGAAATTGCCAACTCTCAGAAGAAAGAGGCATTTTTGACACACCTTTGGCATTACAGCAAAGGAAGGCAGAAGGGCATCCCATGCAGAAACATGCCGAGGGAATGGGGTTATTCTTTCTTTCTTTCTGTTAGCTAAGCAGTAGAATAGTTCCACATCACCCTTAAGTGGTGCTTCTTCAGGTAGAAAAGAAAGTGCTAGAAACTTCTATAGATCTACTCTACTCTGGATCCCAGAAACAAATAAAAACAAATTTAATAAATGGGAGAGAAAACAATGCTCTCTCTTTTTCTTTGTAGATTTTAATCATACTGAATTTACATGGTATCAGTTAATTCATTTCTATTTCTTCTTTCAGTCACAGATAATTCTTATATTTTACACTAATTGTTATCTGATAATTTGGGACTAATTTCCATTTACTTGGCACTGGCTGACTTAATGTTGTTATTTAGTCCCTAAGTCATGTTGGACTCTTTTGCAGCCCCATGGACTGTAGCCAGCTAGTCTCCTCTGTCCATGGAATTCTCCAGGCGAGACTGGAGTGTGTTGCCATTTCCTGCTCCAGGGGATCTTCCTCACCGCGGGATCAAGCCTACATCTCCTGCACTGACAGGCAGATTCTTCACCACTGAGCAGCCAGGGAAGCCCAGCTTAGTGTTGAGTCCCACCTAAGTTTCCTAGAATGCTAACAATTTGGCTAATAGAATTGTTATAGTGGTTTTCCTCTTCTATATTATCTCCTTTTCAGTTACAGAAGCGGACTGCTTTCTGAAAGGCTTTTAACATTGGAAAAGGGGCCACAAAACTTATTTAGGTTAACATGACATTTGCAAGGAGGACTTCCTTATGACTTTCATTCTTATTTATTTATTTAGACATGAGATCATTTTATTTTCATCTTTTATGAATCGAAGCTAGGAAAATGGCAGCTTGGTCTTCAACACTTTATCCCAGTGCAAAGGAGCAACACAGCAGAATACCAGAAGCGCCAGATAACTGGACGGAGCAGATGAATGATATGAAATAATATGAATAGTCATTTAAGAGGAGACAAAGGCTACTGTTCTTTTTAATTTTTGTTGGAGTATAGTTGATTAACAATGCTGTGTTAGCTTTAGGTATTCAGCAAAGTGAATCAGTTATACATATGCAAATATCACTCTCTTTCTGATACTCTCCCATAGCGGCCACTGCATGGTTCTGAGCAGAGTCCCCTGCGCTTCGCAGCAGGTCTTTATTACGTGCCTATTTTACATCTGGGGCTGTAGTTTAGTGGCTAAGTCATGCCCACTCTTGTGACCCCAGGACTGTAGCCCACCAGACTCCTCTGTCCATGGGGTTTCCCAGGCAAGAATACTGGAGTTGGTTGCCATTTCTTTCTCCAGGGGATCTTCCCAACCTAGGAATCACACCCGGGCCTCCTTCATTGAAGCAGTGTGTATATGTCAATCCTGGTCTCCCAATTTGTCCCACTCTGATTTTTAAAAAGCTATTTCCAACTATACTTTATTAATACAAATTATCTGTCATAAAATATTAAACAAATAAAACAAGTTAACATTTTAATTTATAATAGGTGTCTAACTTCATGAAACCTCATAGAATAAAAAACAATACAAAACTCTGGAGGAAGTATGTGAAATAGTAGTGTTTGCCTCTAGGTAGTAAAGATTATGAGAGTTTTTTTCTTTTTTTCAAAAACTTTACAACATGCTTTCATTGTTTTGAAATGCAGTTAAAAACTGAAAACACTAAGTCTTAATTTGCTCATGATTCCTTGGGAAATTTGAGTGAATTCTTCATTCCAGAATGAAACATTTCTGTCATTTAAAGAATATCTTCAGGCTTAGTCAATATCACATAAATAGAAAAATTCAAATGGCTTTCTTACCTGAACATAATAAGTGTTAAGTAGATATTTAATGAATAATATATATCAGAAAATGATATATATAAATATGTATGTGCAGGAATTAGAAGTCCAGTGAAAGTAAACACCATAATAAAAGCAACAAATGATAGACAATTCCAGAATCTGCATTTTTAGAAAAAAATTAAATATAGTTGATATAGTTAATTAAGCTAACATAGTCAATGCAAGGCTTATCTATGTGAGGCATTGTGCTAGGCATTATGAAGAAAATAAAGATGAATAAGACATTCACCAACACTCAAGGAGTTTGTAATTTAACTGGGGAGAAAGGAGCGCTAAGATAAGTAAACAAATACTTCTAAAGCAATTTTAACCAGTTTGCACTGAATATAAATTAGTGTCTCTTTTTGAGGTTGACTTTGAAAGACATGTTAGGTTGTAGCTATGCTATTTGACAAAACTCATTCAGGTACTATGGTTCAAGTAGCTAGAAAATACTATGGTTCAAGTAGCTAGAAAATACTATGGTTCAAGTAGCTAGTCCTTGTATCATTAGGAAGAGCTAAAATTGTTTATTTTAAAAGGAAATACTGAACTCCTGGTCTGATTTACATAGTGATAGAATTAAGCCTTTGCCCAAAGTCTAGCTAGCACTTAGAGAATGTGAATGAATCTTTTATTCATGTGAATGCCCTTTGTAGACTCTGTGATTTCTGAGTCTGTGCTTATTCAAGTACTCCAGAGCCTAGGAAAATGGCATCATTCCCAAACTCATGTTCTCAACAGTGACAGGCAAAAGAGTTTGAAAAAGCACACTCAGACATCATTATTTGTCATTTTGGGTGTTGGGATCATAGCTATTTAAAACTTCTCGTTAAAAAAATAAAAATAAAAAAAAATAAAAATAAAACTTCTCGTTATCTCCTTGTGTATTTCCCGTCTTTAATTTAACATTATATGTATAGCAAAATAAATTGAAAAGCTTAAAAGGGCACATGAATATTATTTCATGAGAGGAGAAAGAGATTGGTTTTACCCACATGCTGCCAGACTCTGTCCCTGTGAAACAAATGCCTAGGTATTACCAGAGAAAATTTCATTATGATACATTGAGGGGGGAAGAACTCAGTCTCATTAATTAGCACAAAATGTAATGAAATCAATTACGCAACAAATGTTGAGGAGTTATTAAGACTCTTTCATATGTAGTATAAATTAATGGGAGAAATTGGCTGAGGAGGAAACCAGATTCTCCAAGGAACCAGTGCCCATTATATTCAGAGTATAAATGAGCCGAAAGCCAAGCTCCGAAACCATCTAACAGACCTGTGCGTGTACACATGTGTGTGCTTGTGTGGGATCAGTCAGACACACAGTGAAAAAGCTTCTGGATTTTTTTAAATAGTCCCTTTTCTTTATTTGGTGATCATGAGTTGTCCCAACAAATCTAGATCTTTTATAGGAGCAAAGGGTTGCAACACTGTCTGTATTTAAGTGTTATCTAGGAAGAGTTTTTTAAAATCAGACATCACAAGCTTCACCCTCATAGATTTTGATATTATGCATTTAAGCATATGTGTCATTTTTATATCTTAATGTTGCATAGCCCCTAGCCTAGAGGAGTGAGACAACCTTATGGCCTGGACATTTTAGGAACATCAATTTGCCGGGAATAGAGGATTATACAAGTTGACAAGGAAATACCTCTTATTTGGCAATTTCTTCCTAAAAAGGTGATGTATGAATAGAAGCATGAAAGAAGTAAGGCAGCCACTTATGCTAATATGTAAAGAAGCACATTTCAAGAGCAGAAGCCCAAGGATGCAAGTCAAACAGGGACCCTCTTTGGCATGTATGAGGAACAGCCCAGTGTGGGTAGAGCCGAGTGGGTGAGGGTGAGCGTGGCAGAAGTGAATTACTGCAGTAACAAGGGGACAGATAGAGCCCCTGTTTGCCATGAAAACAACCTTGGTTTGTAGCCAAATGAGATGAGAAGTTATTAGATGATTTTAAACACAAGAAATGATCTGGATAAGGAGGGAGTGAGGTGGATGATGGTCTGAAAATAGCATAGGATCAATGCATTGTCTTCTCAGCGTGACTATATAATTGTTAGAATTGGAGTCCTAGGGGGGTAAACTGAAAAGATGGGAGACAGTGTAGACCTCTGTACGGCTTAATAGGATTTACTATTATTATCTTAGATTTCTACTCTCTTGCAGAGTAGCAGCTGGTTCATATTATATTTTAAATATTATAATTGTTGAATGTGAAATTATGAAGTGATTATTTGTATGAGCATAAAGTGGGTGGCTGAAGCAGCGTGGTAAATGTGATCGCAGGAGGAGAAGTAGTGCTGGAATTGAAAGGTGAGGGAATAGAAGCATTAGCTGAATGAATATTGACTGACATCACTAAGAATGGTGAGTTGTGATGTTGGAATGTCACAGTGAGAGGGGGCCAAAATCATCACAAAGGAGAGTGTGATTCTGGGTTCTAGAGATAACTACAACCAACAGGGTGGCAGGTGGTATAAGCTGATGGCATGAGCTTCAAAATTGGCTGCTTCTGGGGAAGAAGAAGGAAAATAGAATAGAAATGACTGAGGTACAGAAAGATCACCCACCTCCACTCTAGGCTTGTAGCACCAGGGATGCAGGCGAGAAAGACACTATAAGCTTTAAGGAACACAAGGGAAATCATGTCTTCAGGGGAGATCCAGGTTTCAGTTAGAGCGAGAATGAAGGGAGCCTTCAGAATCACTCCCCATAGATATAAATACATGCATAACATGTTTAATTCTTCCTACAATGGTGTCCCAAATAATGCTACCTAGCTGCTAATAAACTGGCTTCCATTATAATTTACATGAAATTTTAGTGACATGCTCTCAAAGCCTGTAATCTATATTTTTAAGCTTCTGACTTCTGAACTCATTCATCTTTAACAATGTTCTCCCAAATGTCAAAAAAACCACTGATTATGTTCAGGGCCTCTGTTAACACATATGTTGCTATAGTGTCACTTAGGCCGAGTTCCCATCCCATATATTGAAACATTTCAGGAAATATCTTCCTTTAAGACCAACACAGACTCCACTGACCCCCTCAGGTAGGTACCCTCGAGCAAGGCGCAATTTGTACTTTTCTATTTTCTTTTTTAACGCTGCTAATTGTATTTAAATGTCCTGGCTTACTTTATAAATTGACTTTGCATGGCTTCTCTTCACTGTCTTTAAAATATTGGTCTTTCATTCTAGAGGCATTGCCATACTGATCCATATTGGAGCCTGAGGCAAAAGGAACTATTAGTAATATTGATCTTTAAAAATTTTGTATTTTCACCATTGATTTTTTGCATTAATTTTGATTTTAAAATATTGTATTAAAATATTTATCTTGATTACTGAATCTTTTGGCATCCTCTTAGATTTTGTGCCCGAGATGAGGGCCTCACTTCCCTTACTTTAACCCTGGCTCTGTCTAGGAGATCAGACTGAACACTAATGAGTAATATGGTCAGGGACGTAAGGGAATTAGTAGTGAAATACAGTCAATGTGAACTCAAGGTAAGGTTACAAATTTTACCTGAAATTAGAGGTTTAAGGAACATAAGCAATAGAGTTTTTAAAGGCAGGGTGGGAGGGTGGTGGTTATTTTCAGTTGGCTAGTTTCCAAGTCAGTATCTTATTCTGGCCATGTAAATGTAATTACTTTTATAATATTATAACTTAAAAACAAACTAAAAGTATGCTAGTCACTTACTCAAGAAGAAGTGCTTCAACTCCTGGTTTAAAACTTGTAGAATTAAAAAAAAGTCCCATAATGACAAGAGTAAGTATTCCAGACATTTCAGTTAGCTCACCTATTTTTTTAAGGAAATAAATACAAAGTGTTAATTTAACATCAAGAGTGGTACCAATACTCCCAGAGATGAAAACATCCTGATATCTGATAGTAGGGACTTCATAGAGAGGCTATCACACTTGGTTCCCACTGAGTAATGTCACAAATGATCACTACCGACCACTGTTCCTCCTGCTCAGCTTCACATACAGTGTGTGGCAAAGTCTGTACTGACATCCTTGCTTTGCTTTGGCTTCTGATCATTGGCAGCAATGTGGGACTCACAAATCTTTTCAGGTGCCTCAGTGAGGCGAGAGCACCCTCCATAGGTCTGATTTTTTTCAGAGCAGCTCTGGATGAATTAAGTGGAAGTAAGCTGATGAGCCCTCTATGGACTAGCCTACTTCATATACTTCTTCTTGGGAGACAGCAGGAGATAGGAATGATTTGATTTTGTGACAAGGCTAAGAAAGTGGAGCCAAGAGAAACCCAATACAGATCTGCTTCCCAGTTTAATTATGGTTTGGTGCACTTACTGTCTGAGATGGAAAAGTGTAAAAAACTGTGGAAACTCTTAAATATCATCAACTTTCATGAATTAGAGGGAAAAACAATTTTGGAAGTAGCTTATGAAAGTGACATATTATCACTGTGAAAAATTCAAATAATATAGTACAGTACAGAGATTATATTTTTTTAGAAAAAGGTGGTAGTTAAGTTGCTAAGTCATATCTGACTTTTGCAAGCCCATGGACTGCAGCCCGCCAAGCTCCTCCAGCCATGGGATTCTCCAGGCAAGAACACTGGACTGGGTTGCCATTTCCTTCTCCAGGGGATCTTCCTGACCCAGAAATTCTTTCCAAGATTCTTGCCAACCCAGGAATTCTTTCCAGGAAACTTCCTGACCCAGGAATCAACCCGGGGTCTTCTGCATTGCAGGCAGATTAGAAAAAGGGAACACCCGTAACTACACTGCCAAGAATTCAGGTAAATTTTTGAAGAAAATTTTGATTGAAATTTCTATTGAGGAGAGGACTATATTTGCCTAGAAGAAGTAATTTGATAAGCTATTTGACAGTACAGTATGAGACCCAAAAGGCAACTCAAAGCATTAAAAGCTGCTTGCTGAATTTCTGTACAGGACACAAGTGGTAAAAATTAAGCAGGAAATATAGAAAAGTGAGGAGATAATGGTAGATGTCAGATCTCAGAATTGTGAACTGCACAATGTAATTTTCTCTGTGAGCTCCACTTGTTCTCACCTTCACTGAAGTTCACCAAGAAGCAGAAATTGTTAGATACTTAGGAGGAGACAGCAGAGATTATGAGGAAGAAAACTCCAGAAACTGTCAGAAATTTTGAGGAGTTATCTTTGGATTGGGCTTCCCTTGTTGCTCAGCTGGTAAAGAATCTGCCTGCAATGTGGGAGACCTGAGTTTGATTCCTGGGTTGGGAAGATCCCCTAGAGAAGGGAATGGCTATCCATTCCAGTACTCTAGCCTAGAGAATTCCATGGTGGCAAAGAGTCGGACACAGCTCAGCGTGTCTATTGGAAGCTTAAGATAACTGGATCAAGATTTTGGGAGTGGAGTACCCAGTGAACACACAGAAGCTCATATCCAGCATACATATACATAAAGTCACACATTAAGAAAATCTACAGAGGGATTATCCCTGGAGAAGAAAATGGCAACCCCCTCCAGTATTCTTGCCTGGGAAATCCCATGGACAGAAGAGCCTGGTGAGCACCATTGCATGGGGTCCCAAAGAGTCAGACATGGGTGAATGACTAAACATGCGCCCAAAGAGGGATTGTAGAGCAATACTGCTCTTAATGGGCTAATTGTTTTTTCTCTTAATGTTTAGCAGACATTGTTCTAGGTAACAGTTACAAGTTAAAATTTTGCTTTAATATTAAAGAATATTGTGGATATGCCACTTTTCATAGGCTCTTCTGGTAGCTCAGCTGGTAAAGAATCTGCCTGCAATGCAGGACACCCAGGTTTGATTCTCCGGTGGGGCAAGCTCCCCCGGAGAAGGGAGAGGCTGCCCACTCCAGTATTCTTGGGCCCCCCTGGTGGCTCAGCTGGTAAAGAATCCACCCGCAATGCAGGAGCCCTGGGTTCTATCCCTGAGTTCGGAAGATCCCCTGGAGGAGGGCATGGCAAACCACTCCAGTATTCTTGCCTGGAGAATCCCCGTGGACAGAGGAGCCTGACGGGCTATAGTCCACAGGGTGGCAAAGAGTCAGACACAGCTGAGCGATGAAGCACAGCACACATTTATCAAATGGATCTGTTTCTCTGGTTTACTTTGTATTCCTCTGTAGAGCAGTCGTATTTTAATTATTATAGGCTTATTACATGTCTATTATCCATTTAGTAGGAAAAATCCTTCACTTAAATAGATTGTCATGCCATATGACATATGTCATAGTCTCACAGTTTATGTTTCCAGGTGAATTTTTTAAATTTTTCTGTAAAATTTCACTTCCCTCCAAATTTCTATCATTATTTGATTCAGATTGTGATAACTTTTTAAAATATTCACTTATTTGACAGGCCAGAGTAAAAGTTTTTTACATTAGATTTATACTTACTCATTATCTGCTTTCTAAAATATTTATTGAGACATCATGACTCTAAAAAAGTTAAATTATTTTCTTGGAGATTGGGGTAGGGGATTATAAAATACAAGCTAGTATGTATAAACTAAATAAGCAACAAAGATGTCTATTGTACCACACAAGGAAATATAGCCATTATTTTGTAATAACTTTAACTGGAATATAATGTATAAAAATTCTGAATCACTATATTGCATATTTGAAAATAATATAATATTGTAAATCAACTCTACTTAAATTTAAAAAATTAAATAAATAAAATTATTTCCTTGAGCATAACCCTTAATCTTTCTGTTTTAATGGTTAAAGATCAGATGAGAGTTTATTACAATGACGTTGTTACAGGAAATTTAGTTATTTCTGTGACATACAACATTTTAGGATAATTAGAATTATAATAACATTGTATCAGGATGTATCAGATTTTTTGGAACTTCATGTAATTTCTAGAACAGTTATATTAATAACATTCACCCATACAATATAACCTAAGAAGGTTTCTCATCACTTATTTTAACCCTTAATCTTGAGGCTATTCTTACTTATTTGATGATGTTAAAAGAAATTATATTTGCTGAAATATGTTTCATAGATTTAGGTACGTACAAGGTAGTGCATAGTGAATGCATTTGTACTGGCTGATCATTCTGTCACTATTTATTAATTCATTAACGGATTCTGTAAACTCACTAGATTATAATTGGCTTAAATCCAGATTGGTTTGGAAACCTCAAATATCTATGTTATGCGTTTCCTTTCTCAGAAATGAAAATAATGAATTCTGTTGCCCTAACATTTCTACAAAGTTTTCCTTTGTGTCTACTGAAATTTTTGATTCTCAGAAAACTTGTGTAGTTTTCTGTTTGGGTCCAAACTTTTGCTAAGTTTATTCCTTGATATTTTCTAACTTTTTGTCAATGTAAAGAGAATCGATTTTCATTATGTGTTATACTAGTTGTGAGTGTGTGTGCTTAGTCACTTCAGTTGTGTCCAAATCTTTCTGACCCTATGGACTGTAGCCTGCCAGGTTCCTTTTTCATAGGATTCTCCGGGCAAGAATGCTGGCGTGGGTTGCCCTCTCCTTCTCCAGAGGATCTTCCTGACCTAGGGAGAGAACTGCATCTCCTATGTCTCCAGGATTGCAGGTGGATTCTTCACCTGTTGAGTCACCAGGGAAGCCTTTGTAACTAATTACTGCTGGTTTGTAAGAATGTTGTTTGATTTATTGATTTTTAAAATATTTATCTTTTATCAACCATTAAAGAGCCTTGCTATCTTGGTTTATTAATTAAGTCTCTTGGGTTTTTATATACTCTAAAATGTTGTGACTAATGTAACCATTTTTTTCTTTAAAATATGTATAAACTTTGGTTTTTTTTTCTTATTATATTAACTAGAGCTTCCAGAATTATTCTTAATCATGGATATGAGGCTAGGCAACATTGTCTTATTCTTAAATGTAATGGAAAGATAATAGAGTCAGTTGGGAAGTTGGTATTATCACACATGCCAACTTCAAATCATTTGTAGAGCTGTCTAAAGGGCTGAATGGAAAGTGATTCTGAGGCAGTATCAGGAAACAGCGATATTGGTAATCATTGTCTGCTGTACCTCTGTGAGAAGGGAGTTGTGGTAAATGGATTAGCAATGTGATAGAATTTTTAATATTAGCCTTCCTTGATCTGTAACCTCTATTTTTATTACCTTCTTGATCTAAGAGTTACCAATAACAGTTTGCTTTTAATTTCAGATAGTTAGAATATTTCTTTTTAAAGATCCTCCTTTTAAGACAACTCTTTAACAAGTGGTGCTGGGAAAACTGGTCAACCATTTGTAAAAGAATGAAACTAGAACACTTTCTAACACCATACACAAAAATAAACTCAAAATGGATTAAAGATCTAAATNACCCAGCAGTTGCTTTCACAAAGGTGGGGGTGTCTACTGCCTGACAATGACTCAAGGACTCCAATTCTCTCTCCAATTGAGGGCACATGGCCCAAGAGCATTACAAACTCAAGAAGGTGACCCTTCACACCCTTTAAAAGGAGAAAAATTGGCCAAGTGATGGTAGGCACATGCCCTTCTCACACACAGGACTTCTGTAATGTCCAACAGAGAAATGATGGTGCTCTACTCAAAAAAATACTTAAAGGGAAAATCTGTCTTATATGCATGAATTGCAACCCCAAGCTCATGCTGAAAGAACATGCCCCTGAAGAGCCAAAGGGATCGGGTCGAGAGGGAGGTGGGAGGGGGGATCGGGATGGGGAATACATGTAAATCCATGGCTAATTCATGTCAATGTATGACAAAAACCACTACAATATTGTAAAGTAATTAGGCTCCAACTAATAAAAATAAATGGGGAAAAAAATAATAAAGATCCTCCTTTTGAAGTAAGCATTTAATTGCACTGTAGCTGAATAATGTTTGAAATTTTATTGATATGTTCTTCTAGTCTAGTTTATTTCTGTTAATGTCTATAGGTATGTGTAAAGAATAAGCATTCTATTTTGGAAGATAAAACTATATATATATCTTGGGAGCCAAGCATTTAAGTTTTTCTATAAATCTTTCATAGCCATAGTCATTTTTTTAATCCAATTGGTTATGAAATTATCTAGGAAAGGCCTGTTAAACTTTCTCCTTGTAATTATGATTTTGTCAAGTTTCTCTTATTATAATTATCTTTATGTACCTTGGTACATTGTTTCCTATTGCATACATATTAATATTTTTAATGTCTTTTGATAAATTATTTACAAAAATATTCCTTCTAGATCAGTTGCATGGTGGTTTTTTGTTTTTTTGCCTTTTTTTTTTTTTTTTTGCTTTTCACCTGGTAAATATTTCCCACATCTTTATATCTTTAATTTGAACCCTTTTTTATTATTTAATTTTAGGCATAATCCCCTTACTTACAAATATAGAAGATGAGGTACAGAAATGAAAAGCTGAGACTTATATGATTGACATCCTCTCCAAAAACAGTAGGCAGCCATAATTGAATCAGTTTTGAACTAACAATTCCAAACAAGAAACTTACTATAAGTTGTAACCAAATTTCTCTCACAATGATATAGGCTGAAAGAAAAGGGAATAAATAAGAAAATAATTAATAGAATTTATGTGTTTTTAATTTAAGTGATAATCTGGGTCAACTTTTCTTTCTGACATTATCTTTTAAAATAGCTCATAGCCTTTGGGATAGATGTAGGGTATTTTCTTATTCTTAAATTGGAAGAGTTTCTTTTCAAATGTCAAAAGTCACAGTTAAGTTGATAAAATTTGATCAGTTTAGTTTAAGAGCTTTTTCAGTCCCCATTCAGGAATATATATTTATTTAGTGCCAAAATGTGTAATACATTTTGGAAAAACAATAATGAATAAGAAGTAGAAGTTCTCTAACCTCATGGAATTTAGAATCTACATCTAAAATAATACACACAAGAAATTAAAAAAAATAATAATAAGGGAATGCCTCTGGTCACAGCTAAGTGAATCTCCTGTATTGTATTGGCCTGCCAAACCAATCCAATTGGTTCCTTACTATTGGACATTTGATTGTTTCCAGTTTTTCTCCCACTAAGCAATGTTGTGGTGTATATTTCTGTACATAATTTTTGCACTTCTCTGATTGCTTCCTTAGGCCCCAGAAGTGGAACTGCTACACTAAGGACAGTTGATCCTTTACTGATACTGTTATATTTTGCCAGATTTCTTTCAGCAGTCATTATGATGCCCTTCCCAGGTAAACAGGAAGCCCAAACCCTCGAGGGCACTGTTTGCTGGAATCAGGCATTTTCAGTAGATGAGGAAGTCCTTCTCATCTTTATAGGATGAGGAACAGAGGAGAAAAGTTTTAAATCACAGATGAAAGTGGATCTTAGGTGCAGGAAAGCCTGAAGGGTCAACTTCAATAGAATATGTGAAGAGCAGGAACAAAACCAAAACAAAGAATGGCCAACAGAAAACAGCAACAGCAACCACACCAAAAAACAAGGCTGACTTTGGGGAAGTAAATCCCAGAACAGTGCTCTGAGGTCGTAAAATGAAGGAGGAAGAATCCTTTTATGAATCCTTAATCATAATGTCACTGGTAGAGAGGGCACTGCTAAGATTGCTGAGGTTATCTAAATTCCTTCTCTACCTAGTCTCATTCCTATGCCTGAAAAGAGAGCCAAGGTTTCTAGATGTGCCAAGCAGAAAAATTTAACACTTGTAGGGATAGTGTGAACTTGAGAGAATTTTATGAATGACTCTAGGTAATGTCCAGTCTAGGTATGGGGTTGACTATGGTGATAATTTTAGGAATCCAGTACCTCTGTAAATGAAACATATGCTGGATGCTGATGCTGGTTTCAGAAGATGCAAAGAACTGAAGTTAAAAGACCAAGTTTAAAAGATGTTTTCTCTTTCAAAAAAGAAAAAGAGCTCTTAAAGAATAAAATATTTACTGGATGGATTTACTAGGCCAGGAAATGCCTTCTCCATCAACAGAGGAGCCTGACGGGCTACAGTCCATGGGATTGCAAAGAGTTGGACATCACTGAGCAGCTTGCACATAATACTAGATCAGGTATATAGGTTGGATTTTGATCCTTCTGATCAGCATGTATGACTCCACTTTACATTTCTCAGTTTCCCCTGAGGGTGGTTTTTAAGCTTTTAAGATGCTTTTGAATATAAACGTTTCCTTTTTCCTCACCTCAATCATCTATGGGAAGGCCATATCCGCAGCAAGTTTTGTGGTAAAAACTCTCCAAGTACTGCATTCTGTTACCTCTTTTTGTACTCTGCATTTTGGAAAATATTCTATGTATGTAGTTTGGTTTTCTCACACACCACAGAAAGGTTATGTGAAGCATTTAAAAAGGATGTACCTTGCTATGCTAAACTGGGGTTCTAGGATCACAACGGATATTTCAAACTGCCATGGTTTGAGTAAACTAATTGGATATAAAAAACAAGGCTGAAAGTAAGTGCTTCTTATGCCCACGTTGGGTAGTTGTTCACAACCTGGACCAGCTCTCTTGAGAAAGACATGAGAAAGGTGATTCTACTGGGGAAGGATTAGTCTTCTGGTATGGTATGCCAGTACCATACTGTTTTGATTACTGTAGGCTTGTAGTATAGTCTGAAGTCAGGGAGCCTGATTCCTCTAACTCAATTTTCCTTTCTCAAAGTTGCTTTCAAGGTCTTTTGAGTTTTCAAACAAATGAAAAAAATTTTGTTCTAGTTCTGTGAAAAATGCCATTGGTAATTTGATAAAGATTGCATTTAGTATGTAGATTGCCTTGGGTGGGGTAGTCATTTTGACAATATTGACTCTTCCAATCCAAGAGCCTGTTTTATCTTTCCATCTGCTTGTGTCATTTTCAGTTTCTTTCTTATACTTTTCAGAGTGAAGGTCTTTGTCTCCTTAGGTAGACTTATTCTTAGACATTTTATTCTTTTTGACGTAGTGGTAAATGGGATTGTTTCTGGAGAATTTTCTTTTCTTTTCTTTTCTTTTTTTTTTTTTTACCATAAATGGATGTTGAGTTTTATCAGAAGCTTTTTCTGTATCTATTGAGATGATCATATAGTTTTTATTCTTCAATTTGTTAATGTGGTGTATCACATGGGTTGATTTGCCAATACTGAAAAATCCTTGCATTCCTGTGGGATAAATCCCACTTTTGGTCATGGTATAGGACCTTTTAAATGTATTGCTTGATTTGGTTTGCTACTATTTTGCTGAGATTTTTGCATCTATGTTCGTCAGTGATATTGGCCTGTAATTTTCTCTTTTTTTGTGGTATCTTTGTCTAGTTTTGGTATCAGGGTGATGGTGGTCTCACAGAGTAAGTTTGGAAGTATCCTTTCCTCTGTAATTTTTTGAAATAGTTTCAAAAGGATAGGTGTTAATCATTCTCTAAATATTCCATAGAATTCACCTGTGAAGCCATCTGGTCTTGGACTTTTGTTTCTTTTGTTTTTGAAATCACAGATTCAATTTCAGTACTTGTAGTTGGCTTACTCATATTTTCAATTTCTTCCTGGTTTGATCTTGGGAGGATGCATCTTTCTAAGAACTTGTCCATTTCTTCTAGGTTGTCCATTTAGTGGCATATGGTTGCCTGTAGTAAGTAGTCTCTTAGGGTCCTTTGTGTTTCTGTGGTGTCAGTTACAACTTCTTTATTTCTAATTTTGTTGAAACTACACTCTAAACTACTGAAAGGATGAGGGTTTGATTAGGAAGGGGCATATAAGATGCTCACAGGAGTGCTGACAACTGTATTTTCTGTCCCGAGTCATAATTACTCATCTATATAATTTATAATCACTCATTACAGTGTGCATACATCACTTACCTTATATACACATGCATGCACATACACATGATAAAGGGCAAAATATGTATGGTTCAGGACTATCTGAATGTAGTAAATGAACTTCTAGACATTTTACAATCTCTCTGCTTACAAGCACTCTGCTCAGGCCTTGTAGATGGCCATACAACTCATGCTTTCTCCCTGAGCTGACAGCTTTCTGTGTTGCCTGCAGGGAGATAGTCACAGAGTGCAGGGAAGGGAAGATCCCTCCTCTCGGCAGTGGGGATTCCCTACTCAACTGATTTTTTGAGTTCATCTTCAACAGATAAAAAAATTCTCTCATTCTTGTTATCAATAATTCTGGTTCAGTCTAGGTCTGAGGAATATTGCTTCTATAGGCATCCTCATGAAAAGTCCCAACTTAGCCTCACAACAAAATCCTAACCAATATTAAATAAGGGATGTTTGGTACTTCTTTGTGAATGGCCAATAATTATACTAATATGATTGTGTTTGCATAAGTGTAATTTTGGTAAGGTATTATAATATCCATGTCAGAGTTTAGAAAATACAGAATTCTAGTTTTAAGAAATTAAGATTTCAGAAAATATGGGATTCTAATTTTAAAAGATTAAGAAAACATACTTACCTAAGGACTGGATGGTATTTTTGTGCAAGCTAAGGCCAATATTCACAATAACAGTGAATGTAATTAGAGACATTACAGAGGTCATCAGACTTTCTCCATTAATTAAACTGACGAGGCTTCTAGAAAGACCTACAGAGGGAAAAATATTTTTTTAAGGAGGGAAAAATTTAATGAATATTAAAGAACAGAATTTTATCAACAAGTAGAAGTATATTTTCAGCTATGGATTTATATCATGTGCTTTTCCTACATACTTAAATATACATTAGTCAGGTTTGTAAAATCTGTTCAAGAAACTTTCATTATGTATTAACTTACAAGTCTGTATCATCATGATTAGGTACCAAATTAATTGTGGTTGATTAGGAATCAAAGAAAGGGCTTCCCTGGTGGCTCAGATGGTAACTAATCTGCCTGTGATGCAGGAGACTTGGGTTCAATCCCTGGGTTGAGCAGATCCCGTGGAGAAGGGAATGGTTACCCACTCCAGAATTCTTGCAAACTAAAATGGACAGGAATGGGTGAATTTAACTCATATGACCATTATATCTACTACTGTGGGCAAGAATCCCTTAGAAGAAAGGGAGTAGCCCTCATAGTTGACAAAAGAGTACAAAATGCAGTACTTGGGTGTAACTTCAAAAACAACAGAATGATCTCAGTTCATTTCCAAGACAAACCACTCAACATCACAGTAATCCAAGTCTATGCCCCAAACACTAATGCTGAAGAAGCTGTACTCAAACAGTCTATGAAGATCTACAAGACCTTCTAGAACTAACACCAAAAAAAAAAAAAAAAAAACCTTTNAAAAAAAAAAAAAAAAAAGATGTTCTTTTCATCACAGGGAATTGGAATGCAAAAGTGGGAAGTCAAACAGCAGGGTCCTACTGTCTAGCACAGGGAACTGCATTCAATATTGTGGGATAAACCATAATGGAAATGAATATAAAAAAAAGATATATATAAAAAAAAAGAAAGAAATACCTGGAAAAGCAAGCAAGTTTGGCTTTGGAGTACAAAATGAAGCAGGGCAAAGGCTAATAGAGTTTTGCTGAGAGAACACTCTGGATGTAGCAAACACCTTCTTCCAGCAACACAAGAGACAACTCTACACATGGATATCACCAGATAGTCATACTGAAATCCGAGTGATTATATTCTTTGCAGCCAGGATGGAGAAGCTCTGTACAGTCAGCAAAAACAAGACCTGGAGCTGACTGTGGCTCAGATCATGAGATCCTTATTGCAAAATTCAGAGTTAAATTGAAGAAGGTAGGGAAGACCACTAGACCATTCAGGTATGACCTAAGTTCAACCCCTTATGATTATACAGTGGAGGTGACAAATAAATTCAAGGGATTAGATCTGATAGAGTGCCTGAAGAACTATGGAAGGAGGTTTGTGACATTGTACAGGAGACAGGGATCAAGACCATACCCAAGAAAAAGAAATACAAGAGGGCAAAATGGTTGTCTGAGAAGGCCTTACAAATAGCTGAGAAAAGAAGAGATGCCAAAAGCAAAGGAGAAAAGGAAAGATATACCCAACTGATTTCAGAGTCCCAGAGATGGCAAGCAGAGACAAGAAAGTCTTCTTAAGTGAACAATACAAAGAAATAGAGAAAACAATAGAATGGGAAAGATTAGAGATCTCTTCAAGAAAACTGGAGATACCAAGGGAACATTTCATTTAAGAATGGGCATGATAAAGGACAGAAATGGTAAGGACCTAACAGAGGCAGAAGAGATTAGGAAGAGGTGGCAAGAATACACAGAGGTCTTAAAGACCCAGATAAACATGATGGTGTGATCACTTACCTACAGCCAGACATCTTGGAGTGTGAACTCAAGTGAACTTTTAGGAAGCATTACTATGAACAAAGCTATTGGAGGTGATAGAATTCCAGTTGAGTTATTTAAAATCTTAAAAGATGATACTGTTAAAGTGCTGTATTCAATATGCTATCAAATTTGGAAAACTCAGGAATGGTCACAGGACTGGAAAAAATCAGTTTTCATTTCAATCCTAAAGAAAGACAATACCAAAGAATGTTCAAACTACCATACAATTGTGCTTATCTCATACCAGCAAGGTAATGCTCAAAATCCTTCAAGCTAGGCTTCAACAGTACATGAATCGAGAACTTTCAGATGTAAAAGCTAGGTTTAGAAAAGGCAGAGGAACCAGAGATCAAATTGCTAACATTTATTGGGTCAGAGAAAAACTAAAGGAATTCCAGAAAAAATATCCACTTCTGCTTCATTGATTCTGCTAAAGACTTTGACTTCTGGATCACAACAAACTGGAAAATTCTTAAAGAGATGGGAATACCAGACCTCCTAATCTGCCTCCTGAGAAATCTGTATGCAAGTCAAGAAGAAACAGTTAGAACCGGACATGGAACAACAGACTGGTTCAAAATTGGGAAAAGAGTACCTCAAGGCTGTATGTTGTCACCCTGTTTATTTAACATATATACAGTGTATATCATGTAAAATTCTGGGTTGGATAAATCACAAGCTTGAATCAAGATTGCCAGGAGAAATATCAACTACCTCAGGGATGCAGGTGATACCCCTCTAATGGCAGAAACTGAAGAGGAACTAAAGAGTTTCTTGATGAGTGTAAAAGAGGAGAGTGAAAAAGCTGACTTAAAACTCAACATTCAAAAACTAAGATGTGGCATCTGGTCCCACACTTCATGGCAAATAGGGGAAAAGTGGAAACAGTGGCAAATTTTATTTTCTTGGACTCCAAAATCAATATAGATGATAAAATTAAAAGATGCTTGCTCCTTGGAAGAAAAGTTATGACAAACCTAGTGTACTAAAAAGCAGAGACATCACTTTACTGACAAAGGTCTGTATAGTCAAAACTATGCCTTTTCCAATAAGGGAGCTTCCTGGGTGGCGCAGTGGTAAAGAATCTGCCTGCCAATGTAGGAGACACAAGAGACATGGGTTCAATCCCTGAGTTGGGAAGATCCCCTGGAGTAGGAAATGGCAACCCACTCCAGTATTCTTGCCTGGAAAATCCCACGGAGAGAGGAACCTGGTGNTCCAGTATTCTTGCCTGGAAAATCCCATGGAGAGAGGAACCTGGTGGGCTATAGTCCATGGGGTCACAAAGTCGAACACGACTAAGCGCACAAGCAAATGGCTTTTCCAGTCGTCATGTATGAATGTGAGAATTAGACTGTAAGGAAGGCTGAGTGCCGAAGAATTGATGCTTTTGACTTAGTGCTGGAGAAGACCCTTAAGTCCCAGGATCGTCTGTCCATAGGATTTTTCAGGCAAGAATACTGGAGTGGGTTGCCATTTCCTATTCCAAGGGATCTTCCAAGGGACTAGAACCTGCATCGCCTGCATTGGCAGGCAGACTGTTTGCCACTGACTCAGCAGGGGAGGTTGTTTAATGTAAGAAAGATAATCAGCTAGAGCTCTCGTTTCTTGTTTCAAAGTACATATGAACATGTGAAATTCATTATTTTTCAATTCTGATACTTGGTCTATATAAATACGTACACCATGGATTCAAGACAAGACAAAAAAAAAATGATACTAGAGGGATAAGGCAAACTTATAAACCAAAGCTCTATATCATGGTAATTAACCAAAGTATTAATGCAGTTGTCCAGGTAGTCAGACTGTAATTAGTAATTGTCTGACTCTCTCATACATCACTTTCAATGGTTTTAGAAATCAAACTCCATTAATGGAGAGCATTCTGATATAATCTATTTCCATCTTGATCTCCTCCACTTATGATATTATTCCAAGCTTAGATATCTATCAATTATTATTTCTTTCTTTGCCATTCAATGTTCATGTAGGGCAACACTATAACTGAACGTCTTCAACAATTTTCAAAATGTGCACAGGAGGGGAATATTCCTAAGGAAATGGTAAAAACCTTTCTTGTGAACCAATCAGCTTATCTTTCTGATCACAATCTAACGCAGTAAGTATGCTACTGGAAGAGCAGTAAAGCCAAGGCAGTCTGTCCCTGTAGAAGCTCATTGCCTTCATAATCTAATTCCTCACCTGTCTCTGCGTCCGTGCCTTCTGCTATAAGATTGAAGTTTCTATCACCAACGAGATTTATTTTTATGAGACTTTCTACAAGGAGAGGCTTGAGAAAGGCTTCTGTTTCTCCTCTCTTAGATCCCTGCCACCACCATGGCAGAATTTCCTGGCTGCTCTTCTGGAGGAATGTGAGAGATAATGTGGGAGAAAAGCGGATCTTCTGGGTGAGGCCATTCTAGATCACTGGGCTCCCAGACGGCCCTCTCGCCGACTGCAGATCCATTAGTGAGCCTAGCCAAGATCAGCAGAGCCCAGTTCACACCATCAGAGACACCAAACTCATGAGAACTAAACAATGATTGTAGTTTTAAGCCACTGCACTTGGAGTTATTTTTAGTCAAAAGCAAAGCCCAAAACAAACCCTAACTGATACTGTTGTATAACTATTTCATCTTAGAAAATAGGGCTATAACAAAATGAATATTTGGAAATAAAGACAAGGAGCATAAGAGGAATCAATAGATCATAAAAAGCTCAAGACAATGTGAATGTATCCATGTACTCCAAACATAGGCCTGGTCAGATTTTATTGTTGAGAATAAAATAAAAAACATATAAAAGTCTTTCTGTGAAAACTCAGGCAAAAATATTTCCAAGAGAAAAATAAATTTTTTATACTTTAAAAATGATGAAAAATGAGGAGAAAAGCAAAATTCCAAAAGTAACAGCAAGAAGGCCAAAGATTACAAGAAGAACTTTGTAAATAAATCCAAAGAAATGATTTAAATTCAACAATGGTAAACCAGGAAGTCAATGGAACAACTAAACTCTAAGATTATAAAGTTAAAAGGATTATGGAATCCTCTCAGTTAGTACAGAACTCCTCCACATCTTATGAGCATGAAAAGGAGCAGGCATTGACAGTCCCAGAGCAGCAGGGTTGGGGGTAGATACTGATACAGTCTTAACCTCCTTGTCTTAAAGATCTGACTTTTCTTTATTCATATAGATACACTTAGTATTTCTCCCCTACTCTCCTTCTAGTTACCTCAGATAGTTCTTTCCTTTTTAACTGTCCATAAAAAGTGTTTGTGTGAGGGTGTGTGCACATGTATGTGCCACATTACAATTCTATTTTAAAACAAATGTTTTAGTTCTCATTATAAAAAATAGTCAAGCAAACATAAATTAGGTAATTTTTCCTTTTTTTGAATGTGAGTCTTGGATTTTTTTTCTGGGTTACACTGACTTGGTATTTTACTTTTTCAAAAGAGGTTTCTTTCTCCTAAAACAGTGCACACTGATAATACTATATCATTAATGGTTTTATTGTTTTTGACTCTTTAGAATTTTGGTCTTAATGGTGACAAAGACTTAAAAGATAATTTTTTTTTTTTTTTTTTTTTTACAGATAGCATTATCCGAATAGTGTTTTCAACAGAAAAGAGGTGTTAGGCAATAAAAATGTTACCATGAAATAAATACAATATTACAATGCCCCCAAAACTATTCTGTTGGCTTAAGGCAGAAGCATGCATAAAGTCAAGCATTCCAAAGAATGCCCTGCCCTAACCAAGGCATTGGTGTAGAATTCTCACTTGCCACGTGGGAGGCTGGGGACCGATTCTCAGCCAATGCAAAAGGCAGATTATTTTCTCTGGTCTTCCTTCATGGATCAGCTGGTAAAGAATCTGCCTGCAGTGTGGGCACCTGGGTTCGACCCCTGGGTTGGGAAGATCCCCCAGAGAAGGGAAAGGCTACCCACTCCAGTATTCTGGCCTGGAGAATTCCATGGACTGTATAGTTCATGTCATCACAAAGAGTTGGACACTACTGATCATCTTTAACTTTCACTTTTCACTTTCATTCCACAACTGAATGTAAGACTTAAAATACTAAGTAAGCCCATCACTGGCATTTCATTCTATTCTAAGAATCACCACATGAATCTCTATGCTGAAACCTTAGTGTCCCAGCACCCCACTTCACATAGTAAGAAGCTATAATGAACAAAGATCTTAAAACTAGACAATTTAAACATGGAATATATTTTAAATATAGGAAAAGAGAAAAATACACCTACCCAGATCTTTTATAGCAGATGAAGTCAGCATGGGATCTAAACTCACAAGGATAGCTGAAAATAGTAACCATGGGGTGGTTTTCAAAAGCAATTTATTCATAGATGCCAGATACCAAAGGATTAAGGCATAGTTAATCAGAAAGCCAGGAACTGTAATGAAAACTATCTGCAAAGAAATTTCATAGATGTAAAAATCAAATTGCATTTGTATTCCATTTTTAAAAGCAAAAGCGGATACTGGAGATGTAGAATCACATTAGAATCACATTAAATACATCAAAGGGAAATTTTCAATTATCTTACTTAACAACTATGTGCTTGAAACTCTGGAAATAAGGGAAAAAACTGCAGTGAGAGTCTTAGAATCTAAGAAATACTAGTTATAGGAAATATTATAATAAAAAGCAACTTTTATACAAACCACTACATATAAAATAGATAAACATCAGGGTCCTATTATAAAGCACAGGGAATATCCTGTAATAAACCATAAAGGAAAAAACAAATTTTTAATTATCTTGATATAGACATTGAATATAGATATGTATGTGTGAAGGCATATACATAGATACCATATAACTATACTATATGTTACATATGTATAATATATATACACATTTAACAATGGATAAAAACTGAGGCATAGCTTATTAACACAGAGAAAAGAAAAAAAATTTAGAAAAAAGTTACAAAAGAGGGGGTGGGGGAGGAAAGAGAAAACAAAAAATCAGAAGAGTGCATGGAAATGGCAGAGGACCAGGAAAAAGATAGGAAGGAAAATTCTATTATTTCAGAACTGGAACCTGGCCTTCTGCCTTCCCACTGTTGGGAAGTTGCCTTCTATTTTCTCATATTTTCCTGTGGTAGCTATTTAGCATGATTTTATGACCAAACCGACTTGGGAAAATATGCTGATTGTTCCTTAAAGTACCTATGAGAATTCACAAATATACTCCCATGTTCATTACAGCATTATTTAAAATAGCCAAAACATTAAGCAATCTAAATGTCCATATATAGATGAATGGATAAAGAATATGTATTTTGTACATATATACATATATGGAATATTATTCAGTCATAAGAAAAAGAAGGAAATCTTGCCATTTGCCACAATATAAGTGGATCTTGAGGGCATATACTAAGTGAAATAAATCATACAGAGAAAGACAAATGCCATATAATCTCACTTATGTGTGGAATCTAAAAAACCAAATTCATAGATTTGGAGAACAGATTTATGGTTGACTGAGACAGGCAATCAGGTTAGTTGGGAGATGGAGGTGTGAAATGCATAAGATTGGTCATAAGGCACCAATTTTCAGTTATAAAATGAGGAAAGCATAGGGACATAATATCAGTATGGTGATTACAGTTAACAGCAATAATGTATTTCATATATAGCCAACAGTATACTGATTACTCGTTCCTATTTAAAACAGAGAAAGGCCATAAGACTAGCAGAAAAGATCTACAACTAAAGATATAAATAAAAAAAAAAGAAAGAAAAAAGATATAAAGAAACCATGACAAGTCAAGTGCCCATTAACAAATGAATAGATAAGGAGATGTGGTTTTTATATTCAATATTCTGCCATAAAAAGAATGGAAGGCACCTATGCTCACCACTATACAACCAATGCAAGAATAAAACTCTGCCATTTGCAGCAATGTGGATGGACTTAGAGAACATTATGCTTAGTGAAATCAATCAGAGAAAGATGAATACTGTACATCATTTATATGTGGAATCTAAAAAAATACAAATGAATATATATGCAAAAGAGAAATAGATTCATAGATGTAGAAAACAAATTAGTGGTTACCAAAGAGAAAGTGAAAGTGAAGTCGCTCGGTCCTGTCTGACTCTTTGCGACCCCGTGGACTGTAGCCCACCAGGCTGCTCCATCCATGGAATTTTCTAGGCAAGAGTACTGGAGTGGGTTGCCATTTCCTTCTCCAGGGGATCTTCCCAACCCAGGGATCGAACCCAGGTCTCCCTCATTGCAGGCAGACACTTTACCATCTGAGCCACCAATCCCAATAGTGGTTACCAAAAGGGAAAGGTGAGTGAGGTAGGGACAAATTAAGTGTATGGGGTTGACGGGATGTGTAAAATAAGCAACAAAGACACACTGTATAGCACAGAGAATTATAGCCAGTATCTTTTAATCTCAAAATATACTGATTCACTACACTGTACACTTGAAACTAACATAATATTTTAAGTCAACTATATTAAAAAGAAAAAGAAAGCACGCCATGGAATGGGAAGAGGGGCCAGAGACACTGTAGAGTCAAGACCCACGCCCACAGTGAGTGAGCCACGACTAGAAGGATAGTTACAGCTGCAGTTTCTCTCTTGGAAGTGGAGCCAGGCGCTGCATCAGGATCCCTGGTCTGGGGGTGCTGCACCATGAAGATGATATCACTAGAACATTTGGCTTTGAAGGCCAGCAGGATTTGCTTTGGTGATAGGCAGATGGCTGTGAGAAATAGAACCTCCATTCTTAAAGGGCACACACAAAATCTCAGGTGCTCTGGGACCCATGGCAGAAACAATAATTTGAAAGAAGCCAGGGTCAGACCCACCTGCTGATCTTGAAAAGTCTTTCAGAGTGGAATGATGACCCAGAGACATAGATACAGCTGGTAGCTACTTGGGGGAACTTGTTCTACCATGTGGACCCTGGTATTGGCAAGTGCCATTTTGGAACCCCTTGTCTAGCTTATTAATCTGCAGAATCTGGCCCTGCTTGTTGGCAAAAGTATTGGAACACCTCAGGACAAGCAGCTACCTGGGTCAGGATACAGCTCTGCCCACCAGTAGGCTAGTTTCCTTAAGACTCCTTGAGTGTACAGCTATCCTGGGACATGGCCCTGTTCATCAAAAAGGCTAGGATCCAACCCCACACATCAATATACTGGTACTAGTCCTAGGATCCTCTAGGTCTCTACAGTCAGCTGGAGGAACCCAGTTTCATCCACAATCAATCTGGAAGTATCCCCAGGATGCATCCTCACCCACTAGTGGGTAGACATGAACCCAGGAACCACAAGAGCACCAAAGCCATCCTGATGAACAGGACAGCACTTGCTCCAGGCCCCCCCGCCTTGGATCATGGCCCCCCATCAGTAGTCCAATACTAGCCCTGGGACCTCCACCACCCAGCATATCAGCAAGCTAATACCAGCTCCAATACACTTTTGATGCCTCAACTGCCCACCCCTGGCATTCAGCCCTACTCACCAACAGGTCAACATGAACTTTGGAGCACCCCAGGCCCTATAATCAGCCGTGTCAGGAAGTGGACCCACCAATCAGCAGGCAGATACTAGATATGGGATCCCTGGCCCCACAGAAGCCCGCTACAGAACACAGCTCTGCCCGCCAGTGGGCCAGCCCGAGCCCCAGGGCCCCCCAGGGATCTGCAGCCAGCTGCCTGTGTCCAGGCCTTTCCCACCAGCAGCTGGCAGCACGCACACAAGGCAAAGCCTAGAAACCAGCTGGACTGGGGCCAGCCACCTCTGTCAGACTTGCCACGGTAGTCAGCCTGCTGCAAGAGACGGACCCATGTAGCTCATGTAAGAAGAACCCCTAGAGGATGTAGCTCTGGTGAAGAGAGGGGAGTGTGTCACTGGGGCACAGAGGACTTCTCCTAAAAAAGACCACTTCCCCAAGGTTGGAAAATGCAATGAACCTATCAGATACATAGAAATAAAATACATATTAGGCAGAATGATGCAACAGTGGAGTATGTTCCAAATATATATTTGAAGGAAGAAGATAAAAGCTCAGAACTAAGTGAAGTAGAGATAAGCAATCTATCTAATAAAGATGATCCAAGAATCCAGAAGATTAAATGAATAGAGTGAGAAGATGGACGTTTTTAACAAAGAGTTAGAAAATATAAAGAAGAATCAGAGATAAAAAATGTAATAATTAAAATTAAAAATGCAGTAGAAATAATCGACGGGAGAAGGCAATGCACCCCACTCCTATACTCTTGCCTGGAAAATCCCATGGGCAGAGGAGCCTGGTGGGCTGCATTCCTTGGGGTCGCTAAGAGTCGGACAGGACTGAGCGACTTCACTTTCACTTTTCACTTTCATGCATTGGAGAAGGTAATGGCAACCCACTCCAGTGTTCTTGCCTGGAGAATCCCAGGGACAGGGGAGCCTGGTGGGCTGCTGTCTATGGGGTTGTGCAGAGTCGGACACGGCTGACATGACTCAGCAGCAGCAGCAGCAGCAGCAGAAGTAACCGGCAGTAGATGAGAAGATACAGAGGGATGGAGCAGCGGACTGGAAAGCAGAGCACTAGACATCACTGAAGCCAAAAACATACAGAAAGAAAGGAGGACGGTTTAAGAGACCGCTGAAAGAACATGAAACATACTAACAGTAGCATAATAAAGTCTCTAAAGAAGAAGAGAGAGAGAGTAAGGGACAGAGGATACATTTAAAGAAATAATAGGGGAAGACTTCCCTAACCTGAGAAAGGAAAAAAATAATCATTCTATGGGCAATTAATCTGTGGTCAATTAATCTATGACAAAGGAGGAAGAAATATATAATAGGGGAAAGACAGCCTATTTGATAAATAGTGTTGAAAAAACTGAATAGCTATATGCAAAAGAATTAAACTGTACTACTTTCTCACATCCTGCACAAAAATAAATTCAAAATGGACTAAACCTGTGGAAAACTTCTAGAAGAAACCATAGGTAGTAAGATCCTTGCCATCAATCTTAGTAATCGTTTTTTTTTTTTTTTTGGTTTGTCTCTTCAGGCAAGAAAAACAAAAGCAAAAGTAAATAAATGGGACTACATGAAGCTAGAATGCTTTTGCATAGTGAAGGAAATCATCAACAAAAGGAAAAGATCACCTACTAAATGGAGGAAGATATTTGCAAACAGTATATCCAATAAGGGGTTAAGATCTAAAACGTACAAAGAACTCATGTTACTTAACATCAAAAACAAGCAAACAACACCATTAAGTAATGGGCAGAGGATCAGAATAGTCATTTTTCCCAAAAAGACATATAAATGACTGATAAATATATGAAAATATGCTCAACACCATTAATCATCAGGGAAATGCAAATCCTTGATTTCAACAATGTGATATCACCTCACATTTGTCAAAAGGGCTATTATCAAAAAGACAACAAATAACAAGTGTTGGGGAGGATGTAGAGAAAAGGGAAACCTTATGAACCATTTTAAATTTAAATTGGTGCAGTCACTATGGAAAAAAGATATGGAGATTCCTCAAAAAAATTAAATATTGGACTACCATACAATCCAGCAATTCCACTTTTGGGTATTCATACAAAGAAAAAGAAAATGCTAATTCAAAAAAATATGTGCACAATACCCAGTTGTGGACGTGACTGGTGATAAATACAAGGTCCAATGCTGTAAATAGCAATCTTGCATAGGAACCTGGAATGTCAGGTCCCTTAATCAAGGCAGATTGGAAGTGGTCAAACAGGAGATGGCAAGAGAGAATATCAACATTCTAGGAATCAGCGAACTAAAATGGACTGCAATGGGTGAATTTAACTCAGATGACCATTATACCTACTACTGTGGGCAGGAATCCCTTAGAAGAAATGGAGTAGCCATCATGGTCAACAAGAGTCCGAAATGCAGTACTTGGATGCAATCTCAAAAACGACAGAATGATCTCTGTTAATTTCCAAGGCAAACCATTCAATATCACGGTAATCCAAGCCTATGCCCCAACCATTAATGCTGAAGAAGCTGAAGTTGAATGGTTCTATGAAGACCTACAAGACCTTTTAGAACTAACACCCGAAAAAGCTGTCATTTTCATTCTAGGGGACTGGAATTCAAATGTAGGAAGTCAAGAAACACCTGGAGTAACAGGCAAATTTGGCCTTGGAGTACAGAATGAAGCAGGGCAAAGGCTAATAGAGTTTTGCCAAGAGAACGCACTGGTCATAGCAAACACCCTCTTCCAACAACACAAGAGAAGACTCTACACATGGACATCACC